AGGAAGGCAACGTAAAAAATGTTTAACGCGTATCAATAAAACAATATATACGTAATTTTAAGGCCATTTGTTATATAAATTATAATTTCTATGTATAAAATCTTTTTATACATAGATATTATGATTCATCAGTCTTGGTGGCCTAGTGGTTAAAGGCCCACTCATGTATGAGGGCGCGAGTTCGAAACCTGGATAGTACTAGTGTGATTTTTCTAAGTCATATGTACTTTATAAGAGTATTTCGACAGCACTGACAGATAAAGAAAAACATCGTGAGGAAACTTGGACTTATAATTTGCAATTATAAGTTTGAAATCGTCAACCCGTCTTGAGCGAGCCTGGTGATTAATGCTCAAATCTTCTCCATGTGAGAAGATGCCTTTGCTCAGCAGCGGCTGGACTGATGATGATGATGATGAAATGATTTTACATATTTCACGTCCATATTTATGTGACCTTGTTTTAGAGATCATCGTAAGTTTAGCCTTGTCGTTTCTAAGTAATAGTCTTTACCTTCACGTGGTTTAGATACTAATTGACTTTAATAACGTAAAAATATTACTAGAATTATGTAAAATCATATTTAATTATAAGATTTAACTAAATACAACAATGCAATTAGTAATTCAACAAATTTTTCCTTCGATTTAAACTCTCGACCATTAAAATAACTGTTTTAAACGCTCGAAGGTTTACAAACAGCAATTAATTGTCCTTTGTTTAAATAACTAACTCTCATGGAAGTGGAGCGTCGTGAGAAAACTTATTTTGTTGTAAGAATTAGGTTTATTGTTATAAAATACCGTTTCTGATATAATTTGTATTCATTGTTGACATTTAAACTGTTAATTGGACAGTTGAAACTAATATTTTTCGGATTATAGGTACTACGCGTATTTTATTATTGTAAAAACTACATAGTCCCGACGTTTCGGTTACTTTTCATCAACCGTGATCACGGGCAGACGAGATGTGAATGTCTGTCAGTTGGTCTTGTTACTTATCATCTACCAAAATTGTATTGGATAGGTCTCATTCTGATTATGAAAAATCTGTTTCAAACATCTTCTCTCTCTCATAGTAAATCAATCACAAGAAACTAAATTTATAAATTAATATGAATAAATACTAATATTGATAATTTTACATGATTCATTAATAATATAATAATTTGTTCCATATGTTATATTATTATAAAAACTTTAAATATACAAAAGAATTTATGTGTTGTGTCTGGTTGTGTATAAATGAATTAAATTTACCTGACGAAGTAAATTATTTCACAATATACTATTTACACAACTGTTCATATTGGAATTTGGATAATAACAGATTGACATATAATATTTATTTTTCTACCAATCAGTAGATTTCTTTCACTTAGTCCAATTTTTTGTAGTTTTCAATAGATGGCTAAAAATTCCGAAGATTTTAATCGTCCCTATAACGAATAAATGAAACTTTCTGCAATTAAACATAGAAATTTATTTAATGCGATCTAAGACTTGCGAGTATTCATTTAAATGAAACTAATATTATTTGTATTACTACGCGTGTTTTAATATTATAAAACTACATACTTCCGACGTTTCGGTTACTTTTCAGCAACCGTGATCACGTTTTTTACAATATGCGTGGTATCCGAAAAATATTAGTTTCATTTAAATATAAATTTATTTTTAATACCGAAATGTATTTAATTTTATTATTATTATTAAATACGTCATATTTGAAGTAAACCACTGTATATTACCATGTACTTTTTTCTCACGGAACAAAAATCTTATAATGAGCATTGAGTTGACCATTGAATGGAATTCACAGGCGTATAAACCCAATTTAGACACTGTTACGATTGGGGCGCCGTTTATACCAGTTGAAGGTGAATTTTAAAGATATTTAGAATTTTGTCGTCCGGAACAAAACAATGACAATGTTATAGTTGCTGATTTGATTGCAAGGTTCCGGATGCTTCCGCTTGGTTTTTACCTGTGTCTTTTGAAATTTTGTTATTTCATTTTGATGTTATAGATCATATTGTAAACAACCAACGTCTTTTTAATTCATGGTAACAAAAATCAAGCGTTTTTCGAGACTAATAAAATCCTTTAAACAATGGTTTATTTTAAGAACATATAGATTATTATCTTTCGTCGTTTTTATAAATTAATAAAATGTAGGTAAAATAAACTGTCACAGATATTTAACAGAAATATTTCTCTAGAATGTTATTTCAATGATAGAAGAGGAAATAAATTTTGTCACAAATCATCATTGACTGTCAATTCAGTTTATTCTGACCTAGAAATAGTTATTTTTAATAACAGTTAAAAAAAATATTTTCAATTTGCTTTTTATTCACACTTTATTTAACACTGGCAGTAAAAAACTATTTTTTTCTTTTTTTTTAGCTATGACTTCGTTCACTTAGATTTAATAAACTGTGGAATGTTTTGCGAATGTCAACCTTTTTGTTTGAAAACAAAGAATTTGTGAAATAATTATTGTTTTTCTTTAAACATTCCAGTAATATTTTCACCAGCATCCAGAACAATAAGAAAATATATAAATAATATATTATTATATAGTAAATACATATGTATACTTAATGAATTTAAATTTAGCAAATCTTATCAAGATATTCACATACTTGAAATACATCACATCTTTATGTGGCTCATGATAACTAACTATTGACGTAAGAAAACGTTTTTATCTTATTTAAATAATAATAAGTGTCAGATGAAATTGATATCGAAGAAATTCTTGTTATATATACTGAATTTGCAATTAAATTATATTATAACCAGAATTGTAAAGTAAAAGGCAAAATAATTTGAATATAAATGAATTTTTAGAGGTAGTGATTTGATAAACATTACAATACAGTATGAGGGTGCAAAGACTAGACATTTAGATGAGATCTAAGACTTTCGCGAGTATTAATTTAAATGAAACTAATATTATTTAGCTATACTACGCATATTTTCGATGTTTCGGTTACTTTGCAACAACCGTGATCACGGGCAGACATCTGCAATAATAAAATACGTATAGTACCTAATCCGAAAAATATTAGTCTAATTTTAGTAAACAATTTAATTATGAATCGTTTTGCTACTAAGTAAAGTGAAGACGTAGTTGTTTGTTTATAACGTAAGTAATCCATGGAAGATCTCCAAAACATTGCCCGTCCAATTTAGGTGGGCAATAAAATAGTTCATTTGTTTTGCGATGCGCTGCGCCCAGTACTTACGGACACACCCTGCTATTTTTTGGTACATATTTAATAAGAGAAAACAATAAAACTTGGATATAATATTATATTAAATAATGCTTTGATTTCGAAAGTTAATATTACAATTTAAATGACACCAAAGAAAAAACAATACCCATGCTTATTCCATTTTAATACTGAAAGTTCACGTATATATTCCTTCATTCATTCTGTCACGGTACAATCGAGATCTTAAGTCGTTCTTATAATTCCAAAACTAAATCTTAAAAAGCATACATATAACGCTTTAAATAAAAGTCATGATAATATTTTATATGGCGTTACTTATAGTTTTTTTTGATAATAAAACAAATGAAAAAAGTGACTAAGTAACCATCTATATTTGATAATGAATCCAGCCTGCGTACGTTAATTGATTTATGAACTGATAACAAAAAAGATTTCAGGCATTAAAGGTGCAAATTTTAAATTGAAATCCGTTTAAGACACGAGTGTATGAATCGGGATATAGACGTATATTTTAACAATTAACAATACTATTTTTTTACCTATATAATCACAAAGAAGTATGTTTCATTACTGATTCATTAATAAAAATTACTTTAAATTGCATTCCCAGAAAGTTAATATCGAATGTCGCCTCAATGTTTTCTCATTAAATCAAATTATCAGATCAAGGCAGTATAATACTATAATTAACGATCTAAAGGTTAATGGAAGTCTTTTAGCGATAAGTATTCTACATCACGCTATGGCTGAAATTTTTCAGAACTTCCTTAAATCAGTTTTCGGATTATATCTAAAGTTTACGGATTATTTTGAGTTTTAAGTAGAAATACGGGTTAATAATATATATTAGGTAATAATATCTTTATTTTCTCGGTTAAAAATTTAAATGAAACTAAGTTTTTCTTACAATTTCGACATTTTTTCATCAGATTCACTCTGTCTCGTCTGCCCGTGATCACGGTTGCTGTAAAGGAACAGAAACGTCGGGATAATAAATAAACTAGTGGTATATGAAGATATTTGTTTTATTTATGTGTAACTAACTTTCCGCCAGAAGCTTCGCCCGCGTGGAATTCGGTTATATCGCGTTTCCAAGAGAACCTTTCAAAAGTCTGGGATAAAAACTATCTTATGTTCTTTCTCAAGGTCAACTCCATCTCTGTACCAAATTTCATTAATAATTTTAATCATTAGTTCAGTGGTTTAGGCGTGAAAGCGTAACAGACAGACAGACATAGTTACTTTTGCATTTATAATATTGGTAGGGATAATAGGGATAGTGTTACGGAATAGCTAATTGTGATTTTCTCTTCAGGTTCGAGGAAGTAGAAGAAGATTCATTGTAAGGAAATCAGTAAGATGTACCCTAAAGAAGATTTCCTGGATCGACATATAGGTACTTGAACAGCCTGGCATCTTGCTCTAAAAGGTTAGCTGAGTATTTTATTATAGAAATATAAGTATGATTGTATATTGCTTTTCCTAAACGATGATTTTAATATCAACTAATGTTAATTAAGTGAAGTTCATGTAAAATAATGTGTTATTTTGAATAAAATCCCTAACAACTTGTTATGAGTATTTAAGTAATAAATTAGTTAACAACAGTCATTGCTCTCAAAATATTTAGATGTATAATACATAATTTATTGTGTCTAAATGACTGTTGTTTTATGTCAAGGCGAGTGGGTAATGTTAATAAGTGAACTACAATTGTTACATCACTTAGAACTCGGAACAAGGTGACACTCACCCAATCTGTCTCATTGGCTGGGTCTTGACCTTTCGCGAGCATTAAGGGCCGCTCGAGCGACAGTTTGACTTAAAAAGTTAAACAAAGTTAATATTAAAGAACAGATAAATAGAATGGTTCTTTATTTTCCAAACAGTAAAAGTATTCTTTGATAATACGTAATTCATATGGAAGCAATAAAATTAGATAATGTTTGTTTAGCGAGGGAAAATCACGCTTCTTAGCTGAGCCCACTCATGCATGCCCAATTATAATAATGTGAACGAATGAACAATTTTATAGGATTTTCTAAGCGAATACTTGCATTTTCTAGATTTATTTTTTTAAGCATAAAATTAGAATTGTATTAAATATTTATACAGTCAAAGTATTTGTTATTTTATTTCAGAATCACATAGATCTAGTAACGATGAAAAATATATCAATTGTGTTAATGATAATTGTGTATTTTGAACGTATTTGAAGTTGTAGTTTCTTATTAGGTATATGATATAAAAAATATTTGTTACTTACAAAAGACAATATCGAAGGTTAAGTGATGAGTCACAATGATTCGACTGTTGTTATAGCTTGCCAGTTTCGTCTGTGGTGCACCTACGTTATGATTGTAATTTAAATATGTAGATTTACATATAAATATTAAGGATTTTATCGTGAAATTTAATATAGTTTTTATATCTATACAACTATAAAGTAAACGAAAATCTTCAGCTATATCTGTGATCTGAATGGAATGATTTTTTGTTTCCCTTTGGTAGAGTGTTTATAAGAATTATTATTATTGACGTTGTATTCAAAGTTTGAACATGATGTGAAATGAAATGTTAATCTTTATTTTTGATTTTTTTCTTGTTCAAAATACTTTTTCCTCATTGGATATTTTTAGAAGCGTTTGTGTTATATACGAAGCTAAATATTTGTTGTAATTTGTTAATTGCTTCACATAATCGAGTATAAGCATATCGGTTATATTGAGTGGCAATATCCCTCTGATAAGATAGAAAACCCCACGCGAGTGTAGTTCATGATGGCGATCGGAATTAGATTTAATCGTAATAATATTTTACTATTTTACAAGAAAAATAAGATATGTTTTTAACACCATAATAATCTATTAGTACTACCAAATCCTTGACAATATAATGTTTGTGTAGAAACTAATAAGACATAATCCTTTTTTGTTTCTTATTGAATAATAACATCGACTTCTTAATTATTTTCAGATGACTTCTTTACATACGAAGTTTTTAAAATTCACTTTCATTTTTTCGCTATGGATTTGCGCGTTTTTTGTTTATGGAAAAGAAGTTTATGGTCCGAATTGTCCGATTGGTTTTACACTGCTGTTCAGGAAGGAAGGACCTCTGTGCTACAGACGGAAAGGTCCTGAGTTATTTAGCGAAAAATACAGAGACTGTGCTGGAAACTTGTACTCATCAGAATTAATACATGAGACGAATTTTACGAAACCAGACCATGCAGTCTGGACGCAATACAAGTCTATGTACCCAGGTGGTTTTTTATACGACACAAGCTTCTCCAAAAACTATGGAAAAGCTATTAGCTTTGATTTACACGGTGTATCCACAAGCATAGAACTGTTAGATAAAGATGAAGAACTGTGTCTTATACTAGACCCTGTAAGTAACTACACGTTGGTGAATTGTAATAAAAGATATTATAGCTACTGTGTCATAAGACCGTACAAATCTGAAGAGTCGCTTGTAGGCTGTCAGGAGTTGAAAGATTCAGTGCGTTTTTGGAGTCCCGATTCAACTTGTTTGACCTCTTTGATCGGAGTAGGTGGTGGTGCTATACGGGCTACTTGGAACCAAGCTAAAGAACTTTGTTGGAAGAATGGTGCTTCGCTTTTACATCGGGGCTGGAGGTATTCCAACCACCCGGTATTTCGCGGATCTTTTATGAATCATACATATCCGTTAGGAATAATCATGAGCAATGACCTATCGTTGTTGAGATATGACGCTATACAGGACCATTCAGAGGTGAGACTAACTATTTTCTATTAATTCATGTTTTAATGAGATCTAAAACTTTTGCGAGTATTAATTTAAACGAAACTATGATGACGGTAGATGATAAATAACAAGACAACTGACAGACATTCACATCTCGTCTGCCCGTGATCACGGTTGGTGAAAAGTAACCGAAACGTAGATAGTATGTAGTTTTTTTAAATAATTAAATACGCGTAGTAACCCTAATAATATTAATTTCATTTAATTCATGCTTTATTTTATCGCGGAGAAAATAATTTTTACCTGATATGTAAAGGTGATGTTAAATTTATTTAATTATAAAAAATATACAATTTTAGATACCTCAAAGTGAATGGAATTTTGACGATACTATTGAAAACTCTGATACCTTACTCGGTGGACTGCAAAATGACTTCTGGTCACTTGTCAACGGATCGTATATCTTCTATGAAGTTATCTGTGAGCTGCATTTAGGAGTTAAGAATGTCAGTCTACACCTGGCTATAGATGAGTAAGTAATATTTAATTTAGTTTTATTATAACAGCAATGTATATCAAAATTATGATGTCTTTTTGCCAAACCGTAATATTTCTGCTAAGCAGTTGAAATGTACTTATTTTTCTAGGGATAATAGAATGACTCTCACTATAAATGCTTCATTGCATGATGACGATATTTCGTGCTACACGGATTCAGTTAAACCAATTATAACGAAAGTTAGCAAACGGAGGATTGATAGCAAAAATATTTTTATAATATCACCCAAACAAGACGGCTACTACTGGTGTATCCACACCAACACAAGAAATTTCAAGCCAGCAGTGTCCAATAAAGTGCTATTTCTACGTGCAAAAGAGTCACTCATTAACACATATTCTATTAAATTTCAATTAGATCATTACGTACGATTAAGTGGAAAGGATTGGGAGGTTTATTTGCACGAAGTCTGCGAGAACAAAATTAAAGAATACATTTTCTATCGAACAAAGTACGAACAGATATTTGGGGAGATGAACACAAATGTGACGGAGGACACTTTGAAAGTTTTTAAACATTCAAATCCCAGTTTGAAAGGGAAAGATAAAGCTATTCTGAACATAAAGTTGAAAAGGTTGTATCCGGATGTACGAAAAGTTCTGGTGCACGTAGAATTGAATCCAGATATGAAACCTGTACCTCCTGGGTATTGGGAAGGCTTGAAGATCTTCTATATGAAGTCTGTGTATTATTGCAGGGGTTTTGATACTCTTCCTGATGGGGTATTAGGTTTGTTGAAAACAATTATTTTTCACCACACTTACACGATAACTAATTTATGCCACTTATATAATTAAAGATAAGAATAAATCCATTAATTAGCATCAATTACATTCAATGCCAAACAAGTTTTGTAGTTTTTCTTTGCATTAGTTTAAATTTAGCCACAAATAGATTTTATTGTATTAAGTAATAAGTGGTACAAAAGCAAATATTCATTGCGATATTGTAACCCATGAAGGCACAATTACTAAAAAATTGTTTTTCCAATTAGAGATACCATAATCAAGTAATTCCTTAATTGGTAAATTGATCCATTAATTTTCTTGACCATGCAAAGGTCGAGTATTTAAAATTTTGTCACCAATAAGACAATGGCATTTAATGCAGTGGTTTTAGAACGAGGGCTTCAAAATTTTAACTATTTCTTGTATCCATCGGTAGTTAGCTATTTCAAGAGAATGAACCTATCAAAATCCATCCATTGTTTTTCTTCCATCCTTCTTTAGGAAATAAATATATATCAAAAACAATTTCATTATAATTTCAGGAGAAACAAAACTGTCCGGATGCCATAATCATACATGTATAGGCAATTTCAACGAAGGTGTTCAATGGGTGACTACGGCGAGGACTGACTGTAGGAACTCTGGCCACAGGGCCTTGAGCATTGATGACGTCACTATGGTTATGCCAACAGTAGTTATAACTTCAGTAAGTTCATTCAATATCTTGTTAACCTTACCTCATTTTCATTATTTTCATTAATTCCATGGGGTTTAAGAAATACTTAAATAATGAAACTAATATTTTCGGATTTTACTTCGCGTTTTATTTTTGATTAGAAACTACATACTCCCGACGTTTCGGCTACTTTTCAGCAACCTTCTAGCTGAAAAGTCGGGAGTATGTAGTTTCTAATCAAAAATAAAACGCGAAGTAAAATCCGAAAATATTAGTTTCATTTAATTGAGTACTCGCGAAAATCTTAGATCTCATCACTTCAATAATATTCTTCTTTGAAGGTCGTATCATTAAAAATCTTTATGATACATTTATATACATATATGAAATCTTTACCATACATTTATATATATGAAATTAATACGATTACACTAACGTCCTTTCATAGCATGACTGACTAATCACTAACAATTATAGACCCAGTCATCAAACGTCGCCAAGGAAGAAACTAGCGATAGTTCAGAGGAGAGCGATAATTACACTGGGAAGCTAACAACTCGGTTTATACCAGACAAAAGTACTCCTGAAGTTACCACAGAATACACGACCATAGCGGAAAATATTAATAATTTCACCACTGAAAGTGTTTTCACGACAGATCTTACTTTCCCTGATACTACAGTAACTACCACAACTTACTCTCCTACCACCAGCTTTACTACAACCGAGGAAGCTTCGACTATACCGGTAAGACAAATAAAATCAGACGAAAATATTATAATAAATAAAAAAATATATGGAAAATGTGAAGTGATATTTAATAATTAAAATTACGTAAACCAGTGTATATAAAATATATTTTTCCAATAATTCTACGAGTTAAATCAGTGCTCTTGCAAATTAGTGAATCAGGAAATGAGAAGGATATTCATTTGTATTTCAATAAAAGAATATAACAGTGTACTTGGATGGTTATACTTTTTACAAAACATAAATAATATTTTTTACTACAAATAAATGAATTTACTCATACTGGAACTACATACTAAAATACATTATGGTTAATACACCCACTCTAGCAAAACCAGATCACTTTAGTAAATACTTGTTTTATATACATATGAAATACAATTCACGTAAGCCATCGTTGGAAGACAATTATTTATTGCACGATAAGCGATATCTTAAGTTTAAACTATTGCCTTTTCATCTGCTGCAGTATGTAGTAAATGTTAACCCAGTCTTATTAATTAAAACACAACCAACTCATTCATTATCATATACTGATTACACCAGGAAGCGTGGAACACTTAATTTAGTAATAATACGTCAAAAATGCTTTATATAATGCCACAGGCGCCCATGCTTTCTAACACGCACACACATACATACACATAGACACACACACACACACACACAAACATAGTCATCTACCTAATACTTAATTACTAAACTATTCGTTACAGCCGGAGATACTTCTGGATCGAGTGCTAGAAGATTTGGATAACCTCGTCAACAACACAGAACCTGTCATGGTGAAAGATATTGACAACGTATTTAATAAGGTTACTAATAATAATTTGATTAGACTTCTAGTGGATAATCCACTTAGGGGCTATTTTACTACATATGTAATAATAAATCAGTTTTTTTTTAAATAATTTGTTTCTATTTCAGATAGACAATATTCTCGAATCACGCGGAAGTCTCGAAATACCAAGTCAATTCCTACATTTACTAGATACTTTAGGTACGACTGTGAATTTAAATGGATCTCAAACAGCTACTGCGGTCAGAAACAACATAGCGTTGGTGCTAGCGGACGCTGAACCCAGTCATCCCGTTAGAGGAATGAAGATAGCTGCCAGAGACAGTGATATCTTTACTGACGACGCTTTCCAAATATTTAATGGTATTTATGATATGCATTCATAATTAAAATCATTAAAATACCATAGTATAATCGTAGGTATAAAATAAAATCACAGTTGAAGATACATTGCTTAATCGATCTTGAATAAAGAGTAATTCAGAAAAGAGTAAAACTTTGTAAATAACAGGATTTAGTAAATATGAAATATTAATATAAATTATATTTCAATTCCAGGTGATCTTAATTCATCAGATCTTGAGACTGGTCGCAACGAAGTAGTTGTTCATCTCCCTTCATCTTTATCGGAGACGTCACGTCGAGTATCTTTCGTAGTATTTCGCAACGACCGTGCTTTTACATCGAACTCAAATATATATTCTGTTAACAGTAGAGTATTAAGCGTGAAAATAGAAAATGTAACGACCTTCGAAAATAACGAGGTTATAGACATACACGTTAGTCCCATCACGATTGACCTAAACAGGAATGAGACTCGCGCGTGTGCGTATTGGCAGTTCACGGGAAATGGGACGGGATATTGGTCGCAGGATGGCTGTAAATTAATTCCTGCCACACAACCGGGTATGTTAAGTACATGTAGATGTACACATCTGACACATTTCGCTGAAGTTGTGTTCCCTCGAACGGTTTTTTCTCTAAGAGATGAGGATATGTTGGAGCTTTTAACAATCATAGGATGTTGCTTGTCCATTTTCGGTTTAGCTTTTGTAGGCGTAACGGCAGCTATGTTCAGATCATGGCGTCGAGATTTCAGCAACAAAATATGGTTACAGTTATGCATTGCTATATTTTTATCAGTTCTTAGTTTTTTGGTAGTGATATTTGCAAAATTCCAACAATACAACGTACCGTGTATGTTAATGGGGGTTGTTCTTCATTATTCTGTTTTATCTTCATTTTGCTGGATGTTAGTGGCAGCTATACTCTCGTATCGTCGTTTAGTCCTTGTGTTTACAAGAGACGCTTCTCACAAATTACTTAGAGCGTCTGCTTTTGCTTGGGGTACACCGTGTGCGATCATTGGTATACTTCTATCAGTATCCCCTCAATCATATTCCAATCGTTTCGAAGAAATATCACCAAGTGGTTCATTCTGCTATCCTTCAGGTCTAGCTCTATGGATCTCGGTCTACGCTCCTATAGCTCTCATACTTGTGATCAACTGGATACTATTCGCTTTAATAGTAAGATCCGTGTTTGCATCACGAGGTATCCAACGACACGGAGATTCAAACGAAGCGTTGCGTTGCGCATCAGTGAGTTGTCTCTTGGTATTTTTGTTTGGTTTGCCTTGGATTTTTGGTCTCTTTGCATTTAACGTCGTATTCGCCTATCTGTTTACGCTCACAGCAACTTATCAAGGTTTGATATTGTTTCTATTTTTCGTTGTTGGTAACAAAAAGACTAGAGATTTGTGGTTAAATAAACTAAAGATTAAACAAACTCGTAAAGTGCCAGTTACATCATCGACGTACTCTAATAGAAGTTCGGGTTGGAGAGGAGGAACTCATCCCATGAGTATTGAATCAAAAACTTCCAAACCTAAATCTCTCGAGCAAGATGACTCCAGGTTCTCTTGACATAGGAAATAGAGTCAGTTTGAAGGCTGACTGTTCTATATAAGATATATAAAATGTAATACGTACGAGTAATATATGCAGGTCGATTTATTATTCCTTAAAATTAGTTAAAAATTGTGCAAAATAATTTAATTTGGACTGAGTTTATAATTCGCTTCCAACTTCGTTTCTTAAATATTTTAATTAGAAGTATATTTGGAATATTATTAAAAAGTATTATACTTAAGAATAATCCGTAATATTTTAAATGATGTATGCAGTTAATTTATTTTCTAGTCCTGTGTCGTTTATCCATATGTATGTATATATTGTATCAGAAATTATATTTTTCTGATTTTATTGTGCTGCCAAAGTTTTTATTATTAAAAGAAATAGACATAAATCAACATCTACATAGAAAAAAATTGTTTAAACCTTAAGTCATTAAGTCTTTATAAATATTTATTTTTTACCACATGCTGTTCTCGAAATATTTTTGTATCTTTTTCATCAAGAATGCAATTGTATTTTAAAATTACATTTGTTTATTTGTAAATTCCATCGTGCAAGTAATACAAATGAGAAACATTTTTATAAACGTAATTATTTAAAAAATAATCTAGATTTTCTACTATTTACTAAGTTTGAGGCTCTTTGTAATTATAATAATAAAAAAATACGTATTGCCCAGTATATACATAGGAACATATTTTTTTAAGCTAGATCTTGCCTGTAATATACATAAATTTATATCATAAACTGTTTGATAGTTGTAAAGATTTCATTTCTTCATTGAGTGTTAGAATTGTCAATGCAAAGTTATGCTAAGCAGAGGAAGGGTAATTTATCAAGCCTACTGTATGGTGTAATGTTATATGATAAATACTTAGGGTATTAGGAGATATTTAAATAGTTAATCGTTATTTTTAAGACTTGAAACCTAAGATTAAAAATGGAAATACTTTCAGAAGTTGTTAATATATAAATTATGTTTATCTTTTGTAAACTGTACAGAACAAAATCTATTTATCTGCTTAAAATATGTGGCATTTATTAAAATAAATATTTAAAACAAATCTTGTGAATTTATTTGTTAAATGATATTGTTATTTCATGTAGTATTTAGTTTTAATTATTAATAAGAAATACATATTGGTATTTATGTTATTTAATATATGTATTAGAAAGTAAAAGGTTACAACAGCTTCTAAACATATTTCAATAGAAAAACACTCATGAAAGTCTTACAAGTTGATTCTGAAATATTTGTTGAAGATAATTATTGCTTTACCTACGCATTAATAGTCATTGTAAATTTAATAGAGTAGTCATAATTACTCAAAATGCATTACAACATTTAAGAAAATACCTTTTCCTCTTACACTGATATTATATATAGCTAATAATGACCGCAAGGAAAATACTTTTTAAATAAAACAGAGCTCACAGGGTACATCTAAATTGTTAAAACTTTGTATATGTGTGCATATATCACAAACAAACACACACACACACACAACACACACACTCACTCACTCATTCCATTTAAGCTCTTTTTCACTAGAATTCACTTTTGTAAAGAGTGAAGCAGTTCTTATTAACATAAATTCTTTTTTCTATATATATTTTAAATGTATATTAAATAGAAAGAGCATTAAGGTGTCATTATTTTTAACCATTTATCACATGTCATGTTACAGCTGGCCGCTAAGCAGGAGGAATCATGTATTTAGGACGGCATCTTAATTCAACTTCAGTAGGCGCATCAGCTGATTGTATAAAATTATTATTTCGCTTTTTCAAATTGTGCTCATTTACTTTGGAAAACATATCCAAGACGTACAATAGTGACATCTGTAATTTTCAATTTTTTTCTACTTATTTATCCACTTTGCCTACTGTATTATTATTGGAAATAGACACTAACTATGCAAAACCCTCTTTTTCTTCTACCTGGCAATTTCCCAGCTTTAGCCAAGGTCTGCCTTACATGTTGTGATTAGTTTTGGCTAATTGTTTTTACCACCGGCCGCCTGCCTGACATCAACCCTCTTTGGGAATACTAACTATGAAAAACTATTAATCAATAAAAAAAACGTCTATTTTACATATTATTAAATTTTATTTATAAAATGAATTTTTATTAGTATTATTGAATGTTTCAATAATATCACAAATATTATCATCAACACATTCTTCTCCGAACTCTTTTCCATTCGTAATTCTTAGTCTGCAGCTTCTCTAAATATTCTAAGCTATTGAATTCCAAAAATTATTGACACTAATTTAATTTAATTAATTACTCCTATAATATCTTCTATGTATGTATCACGCTTGTCCCATTTCCACGTTTGAATTTCTGACAACTGAAACAAATGACTGTACATTAGAAAAGGAATAAAAAGGTCACCACATAGAATATAAATAGCTCGGATAAGGCAATGAGAGCCACAATTGGGGTTTAGTGTTTTCCTGAGTACATTCCAGGAAGTATCACATATTCCTTAACCTCTTGGCTAGAAGGAAATTGTTGAATCGTTTACTCAGCGTTAAAGAAGCACTAAAGTGGTTATAGAAGACACAAAGATCCTATCATTGTTATCTTTCTCATATCAAGATTAAATTAAACATAATTTAGTTAAGAAATACTTTTGCAAAAGCTTGCTATTGATAGTTATTTGTATGGAGAAGACAGCACTTTATGTTTTAACCAAAGAGTAATTAACATAGTATTATTAACTTGTGAGAAACTTTATACTTTAATATTACTACTAATTATTACTTTTATTTATAAAGTAATACATAGATTGTTTTTAAATCTGATGTAACTAATATTCAAAGCACTTAATTTTTTTTTGGAATGAAACAGCAATTTCAGTTTATCCGAATTAAGTATTCATTTTAATTGCAAGGATTGTGTATACGCTCTCAACATCAAATGTAACTGTTATAATATAACATTTAATATATAATTTAAATCATAAGAATGGTTTGTTATTGAAATTAATAGATGTAATACTACTCACCGTATGTTTTCTTGCTGTAACAGTTGTACATTGTAATGATGGCATAGAATGCAATTAGAGTTATAACTATCGAGCCAATTACTATTCCAGCGACGCTTGTAGACGCAGTCTTTTTATAGACGTGTTTCTCATTGAGTTCTTTTGTTCTGAAAAAAATATTGAAGTTCTTTTTGAAGATTATATATTTTTATTTAAACTAGTGGACCATAAAGCTCAAGCGTCAATCGTTTCATATCCTACAGTAAATTATTGGATAAAAGTTTGCAAAAACTTATTTCACTGTAATAAATTAAAAAAAAACACGTAAAATATATGAAATATATAATGGGTAAAACTGTTTAAAGCCACGAATTATTTAAAGTTCAGAATACAGAGCAGTTCAGGGACAGGCCATTTCAACGTATTCATAAACTACCAAACAATTTTTAAACAAAATATGTAAACATAGGAAATATTCAAGACTAACTATAAACAACTTCTGTCTTTAATTTTATTTAATTAATCGTCAGATTTTAGTAACTCAAAAATATTTCGTTACTAAACACTAAAAGTCTAAGAGAATTGAAGGTAAAAAAATGAAATAAGTATAATGAGATCTAAAATTTTCCGTAGTACTCATTTAAATGAAACTAATATTTTCGGATTTACTACGCGTTTTTTTTTATTATTATTTTTGACTATAAACTACATACTCCCGACGTTTCGGCTACTTTACAGCAACCGCGATCATTAAGATGAGATATGACGAGAAAAAAACAAAAAAACGCGTAGTAAATTTGAAAATATTAGTTTCATTTAAATAAGTATTCCAAATATGTATGTCTGTAAATATTCCCACAAAAAGCGTGCATATTAGTTTATGATGTGGTACAAACCTAGTCTCTAAGCTTGGCTCCTCTTTTGTGTCTGCACCGATTTCTACTGGTACTTTTTTTTCACTTTCAATGTCTTTAACATCTTTGTTTAGATTTGTCTCCGTTTCAGTTTCAGTAACAGTTGCAGTTGATGTGATTTCTGTTACACTTGTAGTGGTTTCTATTTCGGTTGCGGTTGTAGTCAGATCGTCTTCGGTTACATTAATTTCCGGTTCAGTTTTGGTTATATTTTTAGCCGGTTCGGTTTCTGTTACTTTTGTAGGCGGTTTAATTTCAGTTACATTTGTAACTGGTTTAATATCGGTTAAATTTGTACCCGGTTTGATATCGGTTAAATTTGTAGCCGGTTTGATATCGGTTAAATTTGTAGTTGGTTCAATTTCGGTTACATCTGGGCTCGGTTTAATGTCTGTTACATCTGGGCTCGGTTTAACGTCTGTTACATCTGGGCTCGGTTTAACGTCTGTTACATCTGGGCTCGGTTTAACGTCTGTTACATCTGGGCTCGGTTTAACGTCTGTTACATCTGGGCTCAGTTTAATGTCTGTTACATCTGGGCTCGGTTTAACGTCTGTTACATCTGGGCTCGGTTTAACGTCTGTTACATCTGGGCTCGGTTTAACGTCTGTTACATCTGGGCTCGGTTTAACGTCTGTTACATCTGGGCTCGGTTTAACGTCTGTTACATCTGGGCTCGGTTTAACGTCTGTTACATCTGGGCTCGGTTTAACGTCTGTTACATTTGGGCTCGGTTTAACGTCTGTTACATCTGGGCTCGGTTTAATGTCTGTTACATCTGGGCTCGGTTTGATTTCCGTTACGTTTACACCTGGTTTCATTTCAGTTAAATTTGTAAGCGGTGCAGTTTCGGTTACCACAATGGTTTTTTCGGTTACATTTGTTGTCAGTTTTGTTTCAGGAACATGAGTAACAGTTTCCGATTTAGTCACATTTGTAGGTTCACTGGTAGGTTCATTTGAAATCATTTTTTCGTCTGGAAGGCTTTTTGTCGGTTCATCAGATGTCGCGAGATGGCTGTGGATCTAAAAATTTTGTTTGTTCATCTAAATATATTGATTATAAAACTTGTTTATCCCCTTTTTGGCATAAATTATTTGCATAAATTTTTAAGACTATTTATAAAAATACCAAGATTACATTTAAAATATATGTATGTATAAAATACTCACCAATAAAAGTAATATAGTATAAAACATTTGAAACGAGTACATTTTAAATGTATTTACCACTCGGAAGCCAATACACCAATGGTCCCGGGTATTTTCATTAACAATGCAACATATTTCCTTGTATTATATATATATAGCTATTACACATATTGTAAATTTATTTTATCACTAAGCCGCTAAAATATTATTATTAGGTATATTTTATGGAACAGAGAATCCTTAATTTTATAATTAATGTTTATAAATTGGGTGACGATTTATAATGAAATATAAAATAATGATTATATACTATCAAGAATTAAAATAATTGGGAAAAAGTAATGTCTTCTTTAAGCGTAAAAAATATGTATTTTTTTTAATCTTTCATGTTTTGTTGCCTTCTCGTATTTGCCTCGAGTTATATCTTCAATCTATAAATTGTATTATTTAAAAATATGGTTTTAGATGATTTCTATGCTCAATAATTTTACGATACATTTGAAAGCAACTATTACTAGGAGACCCCAAATATTGTTTTTTATTAACAGTTTTGAAATTGATTTAATGTTTATGTAATATTAAGTGATCTTGTTGTATAGCCAACGAGATTCGTCCTTTCTAAGCTCGCAATGAAAAGTAAACGGAACTAAGTTGAAAAAAAATAATTTAATAGATTTTTTATAATATATTACTTGAGTCTCAAATAAACAATATAAGGAGAAAAATAATTTAATGACGGAACCCTATTCACCGTAATCTGGTTATTTTACAGGAAAACCGTTTAAATAAATGATAATTTTAATTAAAATGATAAGTTTTGTAAGCTTATCAACTTTATTATAACGGCCCAGGAAATAACATTTTAATAAATCAAATTTTTAAATGAAACTAAGATTTTCAGATTTTACTTCGCGTTTTATTTTTGATTAGAAACTACATACTCCCGACGTTTCGGCTACTTTTCAGCAACCGTGATCACTTACAGACGAGATGTGAGTGTCTGTCAGTTGGTCTGGTCCTGTTCAAAACCACCAAAATTGTATGGGTTACCTAAAATCCATAAACAAGATGTTCCATTACGGCCAATTGTAAGCCAGATTTCACTTTCAAAGATATTATCACCACTCCGGGGCCACACAAAGTCATTTGTTAAGGATTCCTACTAGTTTGTCAATGACATTAAACATCTAAAATTGACAGACAGTGACAGTATGGCCAGTTTCGATGTACAGTCATTATTCACTAATCTACCTGTTCTTGACTGCATTGAGATTGTAAGAGGTAAGTTAAAGGATAATAAGATGCCTATTGAATATGCAGAATTGTTAAAGCATTGCCTAACATCTGGCTATCTCATGTGGAAGGATGAATTCTACATACAAGTAGATGGAGTAGCAATGGGTTCTCGCGATCGGATGGAGTAGCATGTGTACTCGCGAAAATCTTAGATCTCATTAAATCAAATTTATGTTTTAATTTAAAAAATTGGTTGAATAAAAACAAAAACCAAAAACCGTACTTACTGCGGTAGTTAAAAATAATTTCTTAAAAAAAATCAAATAGAAACATCCTTTTTTAATAGACATTCTGTGTTGGGTATTCTTGTAAGTAGTTGGTGTCTTCATTTTCCTCTTACACGGTCATCAGCTGTAATGTAGGTCTGCTAATTAATTGATATTGGAAAAACCATTCTGTTTTCAGGAACATAAAATAATACATTCTTATATGCCTCTTATATTACTTGTTAAGTTATTAGTCAAAAAGGTTTGTATAATCCTGATGTACCCGGAATTAAATAAAACATAAATTTTGCTCGTAATTAATTTCTATCGAAATAGTAAAATCCTGAAAGTTAAATAATAATCATTTATATATTTGTTTATATGTATAAATTATTAAATATTTAAACATCATTATTGCTAAAATAATAATAAATTTAGATTTATTTTTACATTCATTATACAGGGTGACTGGTGAATTACTATCAATCTTTAAGGAGAATACTCGGTACATGATTCTCATTCGAATTATGTAAAAAAATAGGTACTTAATTTTTGACCAAATTTCTGTATAAATAAATCAAGTGTGGACACGTTCCAAGTGTTCCAAGTGTGGACGCGTGCGGCGGCGTGCTGATACAACACCACGCCGTCGCACGCGTGTGTGTGTGTGTGGGTGTATACCTAATCTGTAGGGTGTTCACACGATGCATAATTAATTACATAACTTTTGGTTAACTTTACTTAGAAGTTTATTAATATTTATGTTATATTAATTTTTATTTTGTCAAATATGATCGTCAAATATCACGTCCTCAAGTATCGACAGTAATTCACCAGTCACCCTGTATAATTCGAATACTTTTTTTGTAATAATCTTAAATTTGTAGTTTCCTCAATTAGTAACCCGTTTTTGATAATTGATTATGATTATTTTATTCCTGTTATGTCATTTGCCTGTAACAGTTTGAGTTATATTATATTACTTTAAACTAACCAAAGTACCTACATGCTTAATGCTTATCAGTCCTTCCAATGATAACAGCTTTATTCTCTATTATAATTCACTATAACGAAACAGTTGTGGGGATAACTATTATTTTTAACTAACTGTATTTCTTTAAATATTCAATTTTTAATCTTAATTGTTAACAATTTTATGCTACAGTTGTTTAAAGTGACCATCTCTTTTGACTTGCGTACTTTGAATGTTCTAATCAAAGTTTTATAAGAATTAAAATTAGAATAAATGGTTAGAATTAACCGCTTCTTGATGTCAACAAAATAATGTATAAAATTGCGTTTTATATGAAAAACATCTATCTATCTATCTACATATATATATAAAAATGAATTGCTGTTCCTTGGTCTCACTAAAACTCGAGAACGACTGAACGGATTTATCTGATCATAATTTTTTAATGTTCGTGGAGGTTCAGGGAAGGTTTAAAAGCTGAAAATTTTTTATTAATTTCCGGGAAAACCCTAAAAACAGCGCCTTTTTATTTCCCATACAAACGGTTTTTTGACATTACATTTGACAAGTAACTAATATGTCAATCATTTTGTCACACTTCAGAACACGGAGATTTATGGCTTTAATGGGTAAACTCCAAAAATATAAATAAAAAAACGTAACAGATATTTCTTGATTATAGGGCGATACGAAGTTCGCCGGGTCTTCTAGTTTATTATAAAAGTTTCAGCTTCGAATACGTTATTACTTCAATAATAATTATTACTTAGATAACTTATATAATTCTGACACTGAAGCTGAGGTCAGAGTGGTATCAAAGACTTGGAGTTCACATAATGAGATCTAAGACTTCTGCGAGTATTCATTTAAATGAAACTAATATATATTTAATATCACATCTCGTCTGCCTGTGATTACCGTTGCTGAAACGTAACCGGAACGTCGGGGCTATGTAGTTTTAAAATAACCTTAGTAATCCGAATAATATTAGTTTCATTTAAATGTGGACTTTTCAGAATTCTTTACTGTTATTGTGTTTGTTTTTAATATATTTTAATTTGTTTTTTTATCTATTTATATCGATGCTATGTCAGTATGATATATGTATTTTATTTCATGTTTCTTACCTCTTTTGTCTTGTAATGATGTATGGAATTTAATAAAGTTTTGAAATCAACTTTTATTTTTAATACCACTTTTTAGGTATGCAACATTTTTTAATATAATTAACACTATCCATAGTAAAAAAAGTATTAATTTCAGATAAGTATTTTAATGTAAAACATATTTGTTTATTTCTAGTTTGTAAATTATTACTTATATATATGTGAATCAATGAATTATATATAATAAAGAGTCTCATCATCGGGTCTCTCTTAATGTTTGCAATAAACAATATACGTTTTCAAGGTTATCTCTTTTAATATTTTTCGTCTGTGTTTATTCGTTTTTATTCGGTATTATAAAATAAATAGTACAACAACATCATCTAAATACGCATTAAGTGTTGTTGTAAACTCTTTTTATAGAACTAAATATATTTTTGACGTATTTCTTAAAATAATCTACTGTTTGTTACCATACTCACTACTGCCCTTGTGGTTGTATCTGGTTCTGCCTTTGGTGGGATAACAATATGTTATTGTTTTGAACTATTTGTCAGCTTAAAACTATTAAGAAGCCCTGTATATGTATGTTGGAATAATTTTTAAGATGTAACCTACCAACTCCTACCTAATGAAGCAGTGTCATTCGGTCAATAGGACGTTACTTTGGTTCATTCTATGTTATAAATACGGACTTATTATTTTGATAACGAAGTAATTTTATTGCCACTTCAGTTATTATCTAGAGCAGTAAGTTTATATTTAATTAATAAAAACGTGTAGGAGGCATCCAGACCTTTCATATATTACAATTATAGCTAGTTGCCATGGTAACGCCCTAATTCATGCTTCATCAACTTATTGTTTACGTCGCTATGGAACTGACAGGACGGTCATTATTTTATAAGTAGTCTAGTTTGCAAGACAAAATGTTCTGGGGAATCAGCCCAGCGCTAGATTTACAATCGGAGTATTTAAAACAAGGCGATGAAAGCGTTTACGAGCTTAACTTTCTTGTCATCGGAGGATGTGATGGAAGGCATCTCATTAAAACATTGGCACAGGCCTATCGGCACACAAGACGGTACATGAATTTGTTCGTTATTGATGGCTGTCCGGAACTCGTGGCTCGGCAGATTCTTCTCCTGTCACTTGCACTGGAAAAAACAACGAGATTCGGTCTCCTTGAAAAATCGAGGCGGTTCTTGGAAATTTATGGGAATTTACTGTTGAGACCACCAACTTCGAGGTATTTGATTGCTAAAGCACAACAACTAGTTAGCATGATAACAAACCCTGATTACATGAGTTGTCTCCTACCGTGCGTGTCGGTGGACCAAATGAAGTATCGCGAGAGAGATTATATGGAGAATCTTATGAATTTTTGGACAACGGGTAACACAAACCAATTCAATGCTTGTGAACTTTGGGAACATCGCCTCAGGCATACTCTAGGTCTCAGGTATGACAACCGTATGGGAGTTTACGACTGGGATTATCATATGCGCTTAAAGGAATTGGCGAGTCAGATATGCTTTCAAGAGTATAAACATTTCAGAGAGCATGGTGTTGCTTTTACGTGGTTGGAGACTGAGGTTTGTCGTCCAAATGTATCTTTGGCTGCCGGAGTTTGTAAATGTGGGGATCGCTATCTTCATCGAGGATATCTAGGCGACCTGGTGACCTCTCCGTACATAGCTTACGGTCTGGATTGCGAAGACAAAGATATGCTGAAGTCCTCACATGGCGTCAATTATAAACGAGCAACAGATGTTTCTGAGCGGAACGTCATGAGGATGTTATACGAAATAGAAAATCGCAAACCTTTTGACGCTAACTTAATGAGTTTAGATACAGAACAGAATCTGGGAATGGCTGTGTTAAGTCAATTCGATGCTAAGATATCCGAAAGTGGTCCTGAAGTCCCACTGCTTCTGCGTGAAGATCGTGACTCCTACATAGAACTGGATTATGGTAAAGTGCATTTCCTTTCCCTATCCGCCCTGGACCATTATCCCCATAAGCCACAGTTTCAGGGTTTGTTCCACGGTGTTTTTGTTGGGCACAACGTTCTGCCGAGATTGAAGCCTAGCGTTTGGTCGATGGCTCGTGATGACGCCGTTGTTATTATGGAAACAAGGAAATATATGGCGGAGATGAAGAGAGATGATGTGAAGTCTTACGGAGAACAGATCCTGCAAGCGGCGACAACTGCTCAATGTGAAAAGTTACGACCTTTCGATCCTGAGAAGGATGATTTTGCCAAGTTTCTGATCAGAAGAAAAAGTGAGAGCACTGATTTGTTGGCTTAACTTTCATAGATTTTTGGTATTATAATTGGATTAAAGTTTATTTTTCCTTCTTTAATAATTAATTAGAATTTTATAAACAGTTCTTGGAAATTAATATTAATCGCAATTCCTTTATGAAAATATTAATACAGACTATTGTTACATGGTATGCTTATATTTCAATCTGTTTCCCAGAGCTCATTCGAGATAAAGTCAGCTATTTTCATGTTTTACTTGTATAGAGTTATTTTAAATAATTTAAGGTATTAATTAGGGTAATGGTAATAAATAAACAAGTGTGTCAATAAAACATTCAACAAAATTTGTGTTCATCTATTCGTTTCCCGTTAATAATATGTTACATTCATTTAGTAAATAATATAGCAAATATATTTACAAGGACAAAATAAAACTGAAAAAAACAACGTATCAACGTACATTTGTCGTTTAAAATTCGTATTTTATTTTACATAAATACTTAATATTAACAACACTAAATCAGTTGTTAGGTAGTGATAGTGATTGCAAATCCACGTAGTTTGTATTTTGAGTCGCAGCATCCCATAAATAATATGGAAAAGTATAGAAAACTTCATATTTATCTTAAATAACGTTAAAACTAAGTTTGTCATAAAAAAGAAAGATTAGAAACATAACTATTGAAAAAATCCGAGAAATAAACTGTAGCTATCATGTTGTTAATAGTTTAATCTTTGAAATGACAATCACATGTTTAAAACCTATCTTAATCTAAATTAATCAAATTATCACAGTATGTAATTACTTCTTTTAAAGATATTTAAAAATTTAGCTAATAAAATGTATTCGAGTCCTTGGTGTTGTACGCTCCGAAAGGTTTTCTAAATAATATCAATGCTTCAACATCACTGCGAGGCCTCTTCATCAGAGCAGATTATGTTTAAAATATATGGAATGTTCAATTAATTGTAGGTCATTTCAAAAATAAATAAAATACGAAGATTCGCAACCAACTAGATCACAACCGTGAGCAATGCCCGAATCGGCGACGTCAATTGACGAATTAGGCCTGCGCGCAACACGCATGCGCGGGACGCCACATATGACAGTGTCACACACACTAAGGTTCACATACAGCCGATATACGAATTCATTTCCAATAACAATATCAATAAAACGGACTTCCAGGGTATCTTACATATAAATAATCGGTGTTCGGTTTATCATGTTTAAATTAAAATGTTATTATAGATAACATTATTATTATTAAGTTTAACCGCGCATGTGTGTTTGTAGCTATAGGGCGCGCACGCGACGCCTCCTGGGTTTGACACTCGCACACAAACGGCACACTTGTGGGTCGACTGTACACCAGCGACATACGCCTCGCACACATTATCAATATTCCCTTATACAATGCTTACAACATATCTTGCATTTACGAGTTAATGCAGAACACACTTAACAACTATTATTTTTCCTAATCGACATTTAGTTGGCAGTAACATTCCTCCCTTTCACACGTACGTTACCCGTTATATAAAAGTGCCTATCGTGTGATACTATATAAAATAACGTGCATGATGTAGATACTATTTACATCGATCAATCTACATAATACTTAAAGCAATTTAATTTATTGTGCAAAAAAATCATTAATAATATTAAACCTCCTTACACTATGCCCTAGTCTATGTTTGAACGTGTTAAACTACGGATATTATTGTATATCTACAAGTTATATGAGCCGTTACAGTATGCCCGTGCTCTCGTGGCCACGAGTGTCTCTCCCAGTCGCAGAGTAATATATTCATCACTACCCTGTACGCGTAATTAGATACCTAGATACCTATTTAATATTAGTCATTTATATCATAACAATTATCTAAGAGATTAATTACTTAAAACGCGCCGTGTGGCAAACGTTTTAGGTGCATTCTTGAGCGACATTCGCCGAGCTGTGTTTACGAATCTTGATGTTTTCATTATTCAAAGTATTGTAAGCTGTATTGTTATTATATAATACTTGTGTATATGTATATAAATAATAATATTATTCGTAAATCCGCGGGGCCAATGTCGGTCATTTCGATCTATTATTTACTGTTTTCTATTTAACCTTATAAATTGGAGTCACTAAACGTTTGGCAACGCCATCTAGCGTAAACCTAGCGTTAAGGAGTTAAAACTTTAACTTCCTAAATTGTAGCAATAAAATAAATGGAAAATGTAACATTCTAGGGAATTTCCAATGTAATGTGGCGTTTACAATGATATTGAGTAACCGTTCGTACATAATTTAATTAGCACTAGACATCATTTCCTTCGGTTACTTTAATGGATAATATATTTTTACATCAATTCATTATCTAATCGTCTAAGCTATATTTGTTCTATAATTAGCCGAACCTTCACATTACATTGAGAATACGACCTCGCATCAACATACATCTCAGTTTAAATTCGTTTCATATAACTATACATCATATATATTTGATAAAATCCCACGTAACTTATATTCACATTAATAGGTAACTATTTTAGAATATGTTTTAATGTTTCTAGTTAAACGTCAACATTATTACCGATAGATGTCGCCGTTGACATGACTTTAAACAACAATTAAACAGTTATACAATCACGCACATTTGGTGTTCACGATGAAGGTGGGCGTTGGATCGGAGAGTTGATACGGCGCGGCGTGCCGAGTCACGGGCGTCTCTCCGTGGACGGTTTGATCACGCCAGCGGTTTGGTAACGTCTCGTTAGTTGTCTAACATCGTCGAGCTACACCAGCAACGTTGAACACTCGATACATTAAAGCTCCGACGTTATATCATTTTATGTCAATTTGTTAAACGCCTATCTAAATCGTAAGCCAGGCTCGATGTCCGTCGTCGTGTTCGTCGCGGGACCCGGCGCCGGCAACACTTACAACTAGTTACATACAACGATGACTTAATACAGAGTGTGACTCTAACATACAGACCGACGACACCGCCGGACTACCGAACATAGTAAGAGTTATAAAGCGTATCAAGTTAAAACGAATATAAACATTTAACACAAGAGGGGTCCGGCGGCGACGCGGCGCTGACACACGATTTAACACTAAAACTATTTATTTCAGTCATATAGTTAAATATACTGTGCAGTTAGTTCGTTTATTTACATTCATTACGTATTCACATGTCCGTCAGGTGCGGGCCGCGGCGGGTCGGGTGTCAGTGCTTGTACTCCGGGAAGGCGGCCGGGAGCTCGCTGGCAGAGCTGCCGGCCGGGGAGCGCGGGGAGCGGGGCGAGGGGAAGTACTCGCGGCCGGGGACAGCCTCTTCACTCGCCCACCGGGCTAACTGTTGTTGAGCTTGAATAAATTCATCACTAGAAAATGATAAAGAAGAGGAACGGAGAGTCTACGCGCGTTGTTGCGGCGGGCTCGGGGATCTGACGAACGCTGACCGGTTTGAAACTAATAGCCAATGTGGGTGATGTTTATATTACTTATTTGTAGGAAAACCGGCCAGCTTGCTAACTAGAATCTTCTTTATCTAGTATAGCTTAGTATATTTTTGAAAGATTCGATGGGAAAACTTTAAAGGAACATTGTCTTTGAATGCAAAAAATTTTGGTTAGACCCTCGGAGCCCGCCATATCATTAAGTCATAGTGTTAGTAAGTTGTGTGTTGCTGAAAAAAATTATTATAAACAAAATAATACATAAGATACAAGAGATACGCCGAATTTTCGTCTGAATAGTCGTATTTGGTTTAAAGATATATTGGGCGCATCTCTATAAGATATTCTCAGTATAATCAGTTTTCATAGCGACTGACTAACTGAGTGACGGCAATTTTAACTGAACATAATTATAACTAAATCGTACTTTGTTCAACTCAAACAAATTATATTGCATCTTAATAACATATCATAAATCCTAACAAAAAAAAAACATTACCAGAAAAAATAAATTAACGAGGTGTATTTCTGTACCTATTATGATTAAAAGAGACTAGTCACTGCTTGGAAATGCTCACCTCTCGCTGTCTGGGGCATCCCGTAATCTTTCCGCATCAGCGGTTTCATATAGGGCGTCATCGTCGGGTGGGGCACGAAGAGGTCCGTGCCCTAGTGGGTGAGACCCGTGGGGCCCTAAAGACCCGTGGGGCCCTAGAGACCCATGGGTCAGCAGGCCCGGGGAGGTAGCCGGTGGACCGAACATAGCGGGGTGATGACGCGTGCTACCCCTGAACCGAGGGTAACCGAAACGAGCCTCCTCTTCAGTAGGAGGGATCCGGCCACGGCATCGACTGTAAAATAATATTATTATCATTAAAGCAAAGATTTTAGAAAATTAGTATTACTTTACAATGAAAATAAAAATATAGAAGTGGTCTAGCATAAATATACGAAATATTTGACATTAAGAATGTTGGTCGGATTTCGAATGTTTTTTAACATTATACAAATAATCATTACTTTATTGTATGCTTCTTTTATTACTTTATAATTTTTTGTCACGAAAAGAAATTACTTTCACAGTCAACATGTTATTTATGTTGTAGTTTAGTTCGGAATCGATATTACATAAGTAGAATATTGCAACGTTATGTGATTATTATACAGATCTATAACGAGTTCTTCTATAATGGAAGAAATTGTATCCATATACTCACGGCGGCACCTCGCCTTCGATCCTATAATGTCGGTCGGCTTCAGTTTCTGACATTCTAATATCTTCAGACCCAGATGGACTCATATGTCTGCTGGAATGGTGTTCCAGTTGTCTTATTAAATCTTCTAAGTTCCTGATCCTGATGGGCCCGCAAGGTGGCGCTTCATCTTCTTCTTCATCACCTCTTTGTCTTCGGAGTTCTGTTTCGTGTATTTTCTCTGCGCTGGGCACTCTTTCTCGTTTGTATTCATACTCCTGTAAAGCTCTAAGGTCCCCTGAACCAACTGCCTGTCCTGCACTCGCTCGTTGAGCGGCTGCAGTTTTAAGCGCTACTATTATGTTTTCGTGATAGCCGTTTAGATCCTGGAAAGAATTTGAGTAGTTTTTAGTAGATAGAATTTAGTCTCATGACGTGTTCTCACGCTTGCGTCTTCTCCTTTCTACATGGATGTCTAAAATTCATATGAGAGGAAGTTAAATGATACCTTAAACTTATACTCCATGTCAGCCACTGCGCCCGTATGTTCCTGACCATCGGATTGGGAACCAGCTTCTAGTTGTTCTGATTGAGAATCTTCAGCCCATTTATCCTTCCCGTCTACTGCTCCATAACCGTGTTTCTTCAAAATACCCTTTTCAGGCAACTTGGCCATCGAATTAGGTGCTACATCTATAAAGGCTATATCTTCTTCTCCTTAAAAAAATTTTGGTGTATTGAAAAACTGTATCGATTATATTATTATTTGTATTTGTTTTAATAGTTTAATATTTACCAGAGTGTGTCGGTTCGTCTTCACTGCCGGAGTGTACACGTTTCATTTGTTTATGATCTCTGAAATCAAAAGAATGTCTTTTACAGATTTATTCAAATAAATCAAACATTACAGCAACAATGAACCGCGCATGCTAATGGTTTTAGTGTTATGTCCTGTGCTATCTCAATAGTCTTTACGACATTTCTATTTCTATACTGGGAAAACCTGCTATCTAGCTATAAGCATCTATTAATCACACTTCACTATTATCTTTTGAACAGGAATGTATCAATTTATATTTCGTTTAACAGTTAGACCCCATGAAGTTATGATTGTCCAATGGTTGTCAACTCACGGATATCTGCTGGTGGTGCCAGCTCCTGACATGTGATTCCCGTGTCTGAAGATAACTCGTTGGGAGTCCCCTCGGCTGAGAAATGTGGAATCATTTAAATTTTGCTCTTCCCAATCGGAATTTTGTTATATTTCCTCAAATTGGAAACTATTTTATATCGACTAATGTGAAACATAATTTTCGTTCGATCACTTGCGATCCAAACCATATAGCCAAATATGTATTTTTTTTTCAGCCATATTATTCCACTGCTATGTCAAATGCTCTACGTTTTTCTAGTTTATTGTCATTCTATAAAACTAAGTGCCTAGTTACATTATCTATTGTTCTTGTGCATCTTAAATGTTTCAGACAAATGATATCTGACAGTACATGATATTTAAAAGCGGATATTTGAACGCATACTGTGTGAATGTGCTCGGTCACACTAGACACATCACGCCATCAAGATTTGGAAAATTGCTTCGAAGCTAATTGGTACCAAAGCCGATTGTGATAAAAGCGAAAATCGTGTGAGCGAATACTTTGAGCGTGAGGCAACTCCAAGCTTGGACATACCTGAGAAGATTTCTGTTAACACCAGTTCCGATAAGGAGAATAAACAGAAATTTAATTTTGGAGTAAAAAAAAATCGAACATGTGCTCAAGATTACATAATTTGACAATAACTTCTACTGTTTTGAAAAATTTTGATAACATTTTAAAAATTAAATTTTTAATTTATTGAAGCTTTAATTTATCTTTTTGTATGTTAAAATTAAATCTAGAGCACTTTAAAATTAAACGGTTACAATAACTTAATGGGACCTAAAATAATAATAATTGATACACGTTTCAAAAATAACAGAAAACCAAAGTTACTTGTTTATTAAAAAAATGCATAATAGGGTAAGAAGTTGTGTTTATACTTATAAAATATTTGAGAAAGATATTCATTTTACTAGTCGTCGATCGCATTATAATATGTACAGATAGAATAGAGGGGAACTACATCTTGTCTGCTAAATATTTATAGTACAATTAATTTAATTTCTACTGTTATGTACCTGAATGTGTTATTAAAAGAGTGCATCTTCCCTCCATCTAGCGATATATCCTCTTGAGAATTATTGGATGTTGTTGAACCAGCCGCGAAGCTTTTAGCGATCGGTTTTTTCACGTACGGCGGATCGTACTTGGGCAGAGTGCTCTTTTTCCTGTTGCAGGCGTGGCGTAGAACGCACACTCAGATAAATCGATAACGTTTTAACAATCGAGATATCTTAATGTTACGGAATCGAGAACACCTCAGGGTTAATTTTGATATCGTGTTTTCGTTTCCGAATCAACATGACGTGAATGAAGGCTGACATGAGTGTTGTGAAAATTATAAGGTTTAGAGTCCAGGATTGTTATGTCTGTGTTTGTAAAGTATTTTACTTATTTGTTTAATTGAGTAAGTTTGTCAGCTTTCATTCATCGACATTCATATCTGTTTCTCAGTTTCATGAAATTTATTGACAAATTTAATGTATCAAGAGAATTTTTAATCTTTCAATAGAAACAAATCGATTAATTCCAATTATAATATAGACTGGTGCTTTTGGATATTACAATTATTTTTCTCAATAATAATTTATTTTTCATTATGACAAAACTTCAATTTTTCGTTTCATTCCTCATGGGAATTGATGTTCATGGATAAATATAACAAAAAAACATTAATCTTAGCTTAAGTGATACGAATCTTTCCAGTAAAAAAATGATTGTTTTGATAAAATAATGATATATATTTTAACTCCAATGATCACTATTAAAATAAAATAGCAAAAGAAAAGATTGTTATAAAATTTTTAATGGAAAGATATAATTTACTTAAATATAACATAAGGCATTCTAGCTAGATAGACAGCTGCTTGAAAGAAGAATCCGTGCATCGCACATTCGCTTGACGTGCAAAAGTTTTTATATAATTTAGTGAGAGTGGTGATGATCGTGACGTCAGAGTTCAGCGTGCTATATCTTCGCATATGTCAAATTAAATCGGTCGTAGTCGGCGTGGAGCGCGGGCATGATACAACTAAGTAAAATGTAACAAAACATTCTCTAAGAGAGTCTACTGAGTCTATGAGTCGATGCGGAGTCGATGATACGATCGAGTCGGTGAGATGTAGGAAGATATAGACGCGATCGCGCCGTCGGGCAGCAGTCTGCGGCGCCCGGCGACACGGTCTCCGACCAAGAAAGGAAACGAAAACGAGTCACAGTTCACATAAGCCAATGCATACATCCAAGAGCCCAGAATCTTAAGGGTTTGAATCGAGGTGTCGCTCGAGTACAACGTGGAAAGCCTCGTCGGCATGCAGCGAGGCGGCCGGACGGCGACGCCTCGCGCTCGGCGAGTGGCGCGTAAGGGGGCCCTGTGTAATGTGTACTGTGCACTGTGAGCGCGGGCGCCGCGGGCCGGCCGCCGGCGCGAGCACAGAGCCACAGAACCACAGATCAAATGCAGTTGGGGCGCGCCGACGGACGCCGACGCGCCACCCGCCAGCTAGCTCTACGACGACAAAGTAAACGACATAAAAAATCTCCAAATAATCAAAAAACGAAAAACCAATCGTCGACTTTAAAAACGGAAACACCAACGCTAACGTCTAATATAAACATACAAGTATACGAAGGTGACGGTATTTAAATTTCTCCTTAAAGACTACCTTTGGTCTGTTTTCTGCTCACTAACCTTAGGCACAGGGAGAAGTTTTTGTGTACTACGACTGACCTGTAGCAGAGAGCGCTCAGGGCAAATACTATGAATACCCCCCCTACCACAGACATGAGCACCGCCACGAGGAACACCGTGTTCGAGCCGTGGTAGTTCTCTGCGCCCAAACAGAAGGGTAAGTCACGCGGGAGCCGGCACGCCTCTCGTCATCCCGGCGCGCTCGCGGGGCGGCCGCGGCGGGACGCGAGGGGGCGCGGGCGGCGCCGGCGGGACCCATGGTCGGCACAACACACGACACGACACTGCAGGCACGAGCGACGGACACAGTGCGACAACACCGAGTTACCGGGTTACCTGAAGCAGTACGCCATCCAGGCGAAACCCACGAACACGGACAGCACAACCGCGAGTAATAATATCACCATGTTCATGGTGCTCATCTTATTCCCCTCGTGCTCACCTGCAAGAGAGGGGTCCCGCACGTTAGTGCGCCGGCGCCGACCGCGCCTCTCAAGTACCCTCCGAGCAATGCTCCTCTGCCTAGCTTACTTTAATAATCTTTACAAAGCTAATGTCATAACGTTTAAGGCAAATATGCCTACGGTGTGTATTGTGAACGAGCCTATGCGTTAGTGAAGTTTCATGTATATTTTAGACACTAATTTCACTTCTGAAATTTGAAGAGCAGTGCTCGGAATTGGCCAATTATATAATTTTGTACATTAATAGCAACATAAAGTAGGGAACAATAGATATAAGAAGGCACCTGAAACCATAAACCAGCGTACAATTAGTAGACACCAGTTAAAGAAACTGTAAAATAAATCAAGAGAATTAACAAAGCAAACACATAATGTAAGATCACAGTTCACATAACGACAGTCATATAAAAATAATGTTATTTACAAAGAGCAAAATGTTATTATTGTTTGTAAAATAAAAAAAAAATCTTTTAAAAGATAGATAAAGGAAAATAAAACATTCTTTAAACAGAAATAAAACAAACAATAAGATGTAAGTAATAAATTTAATATAACCCAAGAAAACAGAAACATAATAAAAAGATTAATATAAAATTAAAATGATCAAGAACAAAATGTAGAATAAGTAAGATAACCAAACATATATATGTAGATACAAATATACAAGAAAGAAAGCAACAGTTATGTATATATTCTTCGTTGCAAATCATCATTCTTCTGAGCAAACATCAGTTGATAATGAAGTTTTTTCTCATAAAGTTATAGTTATTATGTTTTATAAAAGAAGAAGAACAAAAACGGTACAAAATATCAGCAAAACAATAGTTATATCTTCCGTAACTGTGACCGACTCACCGTACGGTGTCTCTTTCTTGGTCATGTTGTACGCAGCCTTTGTTGTGTTCTCGGGAATACCAGGAGTTGGTGATGGAGGAAGAGCATCTGGCTGTGAACAGTCTGGTCCAGTCCAGCCACGGTTGCACACACACTTGTTCAGGTTTGAACACATCTGTAAGTTAAGTGCATACGTTTCAATACTTAGACGTCATCATCAGCCTATCAGAGCCCACTGCTGAGCAAAGGCCTCTTTCTCACATGGAGAAGGTTTGAGCATTAATCACCACGCTTGCTCAAGATGGGTTGGTGATTTCAAACTTATAATTGTGAAACTATAAGTCCAGGTTTCCTCACGATGTTTTCCTTCACCGTATGTCAGTGGTGTCTAAATAAATACTTAGACAACACTATGGAATTCTTTTATAAGAAAGTTACATATAATTCGTCTCAACTGTCTACTTAAATCTTTATTGGAATATGGTTTTTTAATTAAATTCAATATATCAATTATGTATGCACGGTATGTAAAGACCATTTATATAAAATAATAAGTTTAGTTTAACTGAATCTTACGTTGCAGCATGCCAGAAGTTAAACTTAGACATGGTTAGGAATTCAAACTCCAAGTGTCATATGAACTTATAACTTAGCAATGCCTAGTACGATATGTTAAATTACAGCTAAATTTATTAAAACCGTATTCTGAGTTAAAGCCAGTGTGTTAAAATTAATGTTGTTTCTAACGACTTATGCAAGTCTTGTAGTTTGATGTTTGAAGTGGGTTTTAAAACTCTCCTAATAGAATGATGCAAAATCATACATTCATTCATGAATATAGGAATTGGGATAATTGTAAAATTCATATGTATTTTTACTTACTATATAACTATCTTTTGCAAGCAACCTCGTCTACGTTATATACTTTCATAATTAGAAATGTATAGCTGACGGGATGAACTTTATTCCTCCCCAAAGGCAGTAAATAAGAAGATTTTTGACTTTATATATTTTTTTCAATCACATGAAAAGTATCCTATATCCTTTTCTGACTTGAAGCTATCTCTCCACCAATTTTCAACCATATCCCTACAGTCGTTCTTGAGTGATAAATACGTAGTGTAACTAACACGATTTCTTTTGTATATAATATTGATTACTTATTTCATCGTTTTTGATCTGATTTAAAAATAAATATGTGTATTGTATTATGTATTATTGTTTTTGAAACGCTAAGGTCAAATCCAGATGGGTTTCTTAAATAACAATTAATATATTTGATGCTATAACTGCTCAACTAATTCCACATAACACTCAATACTAGTGTTGAAGTGTTTCACAAATGAAATTGTTGATATCGCTAGGTAATAAGAATGAATTCTCCAGGTACGAGTGTCAACAAGTTGAAAGTTTTAACGACGTCATTGTCGACGTATCTCATTGTACAAAACGTGAAACTTCTCACTCATACTCTGCGGCATTAGATTATGAAAACGTGATTTTGAACTTGCTGTTGTTGATAAATTTGATTGTATGATATATTTTAAAGTTACCGGGCTTGTTATTTTATTGTTATAATAATGTATACAGTTCTATTTTAAGTTTTATTTGTTCGTTGCATGTTCTAGGTTCTGAAGCAAATTGAGGAGGATTTTGATTCAGTATGGCCGTTGGTTCTTTAAATAGTTTATAAAAATTAGATCCTCATTTATTAATGATGTTTAAAAATCAGTTATTTGTTATATATTTGCAATCATACATTGTATGCTAGTTAAAATATAAAGAATTTGTGAAAAGTATAATAAATGAATATTCAAATAACCGTAGTAAAGTCCACAGTATGAAAATCCTTTTAAAACAACACGGTTAACTTGACGGGAACGGTTTAAACAAACTTTTCAGACGAACAATGGCATTAGCAGTGATCTTATCTAACTCTCAGCAAGTCGGCGTGCCGTCTGAATAGCTGAGTTGTAGTGACGTGCTCCGAATTATCTCCAGCATCCAATGGAGCTCGGTCCATCTGTTTTTATATTCATTTCAAACATAAATTACTACGTACTTTATCTCAACGGCGCATGAACCTCATTTAACAGCATATATGTTTAAAATCAAAGCGTAACTAAATTGAAATTTCGCATAAACCCGTTTTAACTGGTCTAAAATTTAGTCCGCAAGCGACAGATATATTAAATTTTAGATTTCAAACACAAATAGCGATAGAGATAAGTTAGAGTAATTGCAGTTTCTAACTGGTACAAATTAGAGTTAGACCCGATTGGAGTTAGTTGCCAATTATCGAGTTGGTCCGGGGAATAATAATAACGGTTTGTGATTATTTAACGGCCTTCAAGTCTAGACGTGATTGAAATTTATGTTTGACTCAAAAAACACAGACTATGCTTTAAGGTTTTATACCTCTAGATTTTTTAGATAAAATTACGGAATGGTGTTGTAAACAAATTTATCAATAAAATAATACTAACATTTAGCATTAGGAAAATGACAAGTCGCAAATTTTGTTTTTGCTATAGCACCTTTTTGCTTTTGAGTTAAAATAAATATTGTCCTAGCTGTCATTACGTGTATATATCTCTTATAATATTAATATTATTATAATTAAATAATACTTATAATCTATTTGGACAGGGTCAAAACTTTTAAGCATATCGATAATATGTATCGGGTGTCAAGGCAGTAGTACTTTTATTGAATACAATAGATATTTTATATATACGTAATGTAACGACTAATTATCGGCTTGTTACTTTACTCCAAACACTATTTTATAAAACTAAAATCCATGTAGAGTGTTGTTAATTAAATAACGAATGTAATATTTTCTTCATTTGTTAATTAATATTGTAACAGCCATAATTAAAATGAAGGAATTAATGACATTGCTACTAAAATACGAAAATCAACAAATTTCTGAGCAATATATTCTGAGTTAGAAAATTTCAAAGTCAGATATCAAAAATATTATAGAAATGATTTTATTTTTTATTTTGATAAATAAAAAATTGCAAGTTTCATATCGGGTGTTTACAAAGTTAGAATTGTACGAAGGTAACCTGGTTTGGGGAGTCACTGGTATTTGTTTATAGAACTGATTCAACTTGAGTTCATTCCGACATTGTGTGTTTTGATAACTTTGTTAAGCTGAATATTTGAAATACAAAATGAATATCAAACGTCCAGATTTGACAATGCTATTATAAAATACTTCAATTGTGAACAATCGAGAGCAGTTGAGCCAAATATTGATAGTTGAAATAGAAATTATATAATAGTGTTTTTCGGCTTGAATCTAACTGATGTGGGATGAAAATAGTTTCACACGAGTGTTTACTGACGGTGTAGACACATCGTACCTAAGCAGGACCTAAAGTTTACCGACGTTAAGTCACAACGACGTGGTAATTACCCAAGTACAACCCCGAATGGTGTCTCTAAGTTACAAGCGCTGAGCGGTTTGATATCTTGATACCAAGTATTGATAAGTCAAAGAGCGTGAAATTATAAATTAGAAAGTAACTCTGTCTGTCTGTCTGTTACGCTTTCACGCCTAAACCACTGAATTGATTTTAATGAAATTTGATACAGAGATAGAGTTGACTTTGAGAAAGAACAGGATAGTTTTTATCCTAGACTTTTGAAAGGTTCTCTTGGAAACGCGATATAATCGAACTTCACGCGGGCGAAGCTGCGGGCGGAAAGCTAGTATATAATAAAAATGGTTGATCAAGGATTATAAAAATATGTTTACTAATATTTTTTCCATAATTATGTTTGAAGGTAGACAAAATATAGAATGGGTGTATTCGTTGACACTTGTAAGTTGTGCCATTAACAGTGGTTATGCATTAAACAAGTTAACGTGGTTGGACAGGTAGAAGGAAATTTAAATAATATTGAATTAAAAGATTCGAGTTTTCACCTGCACATTTAATGGTTACCCTAGAACTTTGTGAATCCCATTAATGGAATCATTAAAATTAATGTCAGAAATGTTGAAAATAAGATAGATTATTAATAAAATTGCATTTAAGCGTATTTGTTACTTAAGACTAAAGGTTTGCTACTGCTTCAGGGTTGTTTTGGCCAAAAAATCTCGAAAAAACTCACCCCTTTTGCCGAGCATTCGTTATTGTTATGATCCGTGGGACATTTCGTGTGGTCTATGTAAGGGAAGATGGATGTGCAGGTCTGGTTGACGCAGATCAGGTTGTCACCACACGGAGTGCCATCACGAACCAACCCGAGACGCATTGTATCCGCCAGGTCAGGAACACCCGTTGTTGCTCTGGAAAATTTTTGAAAACAAATCTTACTCTTAACCAACTGAAAACCAGCGCTGCAATAAATCTAAATTTATTGCAGCAGTACGCTGGGTGCAGCCTTTTTGGTTAAAAACCTCAATTCTGTCTCCAGTAACACGATAATATTAACAATAACTTTAATGTAAAAATGGTGGTGGCTTTTTATCTTATTATTATTTTAGATGTTTTACCTTTTTCTTAAATAAGAATTTCTATGAAATACTTATGTAAGACGTTTGTTTATCGTAATTTTGTATGCGCATTTCCTTTTTTGTTTGTTCACTGTTACTTTTTTATATATTTATTCTTTGTAATGGTGTTTTAACTCAAATAAATTATTTGTTATTATTATTATTTACAATATGTAATGTCTTTTTTCATAAGCTGTTCAATAAAATCTTGTAATTAAATAAGAAGAAGGGAGTATAATAGTCAACTCACTTGCAATCATACTCTTGGCCTTTAATTGTGATAACAGTCCTGGTGTAATAATCGTCCATGCCTGATACAACTGGATATCTGTTCCCGGATTGACACTGAAGAGAACCGCATCTAACATTCCTGGAATTCAAATTTATAAAACCTTACTCTTACCCTATTTGTGAAATATATTTGGCATTGTTATTCTGCAAAATTTTTGCCTTTCTAAGCTATAATCCTCGTAGAAAATTATTTTTATTTCTTAATACTTACTCAGTTTCGCATTTCATGAAATTTCCACTCGAATCTTTCCCGCAATGTCCGGTCATCGAACCTTTAGAGTTGAACTGTTCGAAGCACTCTTTATCAGCGCCATTCGCTCCAGGGCCCCAGATTTTCTCACACTGTGTAGACAGCGTAGGACATTGACCAGCGAAACAATACCCTTTACCAGATTCGCAAGGCTCGCCGTTCTTTCGGTAAGCATCACTTGGACAAGCTCCAGAAAGACCGGTACAAGTCTCTTCCAAATCACACTCATTCGTCGCTTCCCGACAAACAATACCACGATGTTTAAGCTAATGACAAATAATAACAATTATATTTCAATGAGGAAAATAAGAAGAGTTTATATACAGGTAATTTTAAGATTTATAGCTATATTACCTGACATTTCTCACAGCATTCACCCTCAGCACACTGAGCTTCCTTTGTAAGTCTGCAAGTAAAAGGATCGCAGCAGGAGTTCATGTGTTGACATTCCGAGATGGTGCCGCAGTCACATTCCTCTCCTTCATCCAATCTTCCATTACCGCATTGTCGATGTACCACCAACTAAATAGATTATTTAATTAAAAGAAAATAGAAACAATTTTTAATATACCTTCACTTAAAAATGTACATGTTAGTAAAAGAAAAACTTTTATTCAAGGCTAAACTTAAAAAGCGAAAGATAAAGAAATTATTACTCCACGATGCGAACAATGGGTTACGATGAAATGATAAAGCTGTACAAAAACGCCTAGTCACTTAGAACTTTTGTTTAACAGTTGAGATAATAAATAGGTCACAGAAATTAGAGCGAGTTAAAGAATAAAACATTGTATTTAAACTTCCATTTCTTGCAGTTTCTACTTTGTTACATAATTAACTTAAATCTAACGAATATAGCTAAGCGTTTAAAAAACCTTGAAAGAGTACAATTTACGGCTTTGTTGGAAAGTTGAGTTTTTTATTTCTGTTTTTCAGTAAACTCTGAGAACATGCTTCATATTTAAAATGCTAAAATATTTTACGATAGTTTGAAACTTTGTTATACTTATCTAAAACTTACACCGCAAAATAATTATTTTTAGTTTAACATTGTTTCTTTTGAACATTTTTTAAATTGAAACTAGTTTCAGCACTTCAACTTGCTTGCTTGCTGTCTATCCTTTTAGGAAGTGTTCACGTTGATTTAAATATGATTTCAAAATGATTATGTGATAAAATTTATTTCTGATGCTAGTCTTGTAGAAAAAAACTACATACATTATTATATTTTTTATCACAAAAATGATAATTATTGAAGAATATGCGAGTTCACACAGGAGCAAAAATAAAAAAGTGTATTAATACATATATTTTTATCACAATTGATAAAGGAATTCCCTGATAAGGATATAAACGCACCAAATCGATACGGAAGTGGTATCCGGGTTATTATTCCCCACTATGTAAATTTATTCCATAATAAACTGGTCCCGGCTCCCGGCTCCCGGTCCGACGCTGTTATTATATATTCGCAAACGAACAGATAATTCCGAGCGAGGGCAGATTACCATAACTTTTATTAAAGTGGGCTCCACAAGAAGAGAAACAATGCGACCCAACTGATTAATTTTCGCAGATATTTTGCATTCGAATCAAACCTTGTCAACGTCGAAAGTGGAGTGCGAGTGACGTCATGATTCGACTCGAGCCTGAATTGCGGTGAGGTGTTTAGACGTCCCCAATTATAAATTGAGTGAAGTTTATAGAAGTGATGAATAAAGTCACTTTAAATTAAGAAGTTTACGTTGAAAAGGATCTTTGAAATCATATTATACGAGTAGCTTATCCCCAACTGAATAAGGAAACCAATATTGTTGTTTTAAAATAAATAAATGAATCAATATATTAAAATAATAGATTTTAATCGCAATTATAGTAATCTTTATATATTTTCTTTTATTTTCTAAGTCGATATCAGTCCAATTTTAATAGAAAATACCTTTAAATATATAAATTTTACAAGGCTGTAATTATATTCAATATTACCGAAGCAAGTTTCAAAGAGCTTAGAAGAGAAAATTCACTAAACAGTTTTCACAAGCTTCGTAATAGACCTAACTTCATTTAAACCAACCGGGAAGCATACTTCGCCTCGTAAGGAATTTAAACCAGCGCCAAGCATGCATAGCGGGAAATATGTTACGCCTTCCATACGATGGCACGACAAACTATTGATACTAATCACTTTTACTATAGATTTTTAATATTAGGCTAAAAGAAAAAGCTTATAAAACTTAACTCCTATAAAAACATTAATTATAAATAATAAATGTAATTTTCCTTCTATATAATTTTACAAACAAAATTCTTACCTCATTGGGTTTATTGAGCAGACAAAGGCCTTGTGAAATTCTAAGCTCGTTGATATAATCATTCTTGGAACATTCGGAGAACTTGTAAGGTTGCACGTTTTCTAACCCTACGATAGACTGGGCCATTATACAGCCGTGCCAGTCACGGCAGAAGCAGTTTTCCCGACCGTCATCGTGACCCATGCCTAGTAATAAAGAAATTGAAAACAAATCATTATATTAGAAATAACACTCTCATAAAAAGTTAAATGATTAAATTTTTTAACACATTACAATAATGTTCATCCCTACTAATATTATAAATGCGAAAGTAACTCTGTCTGTCTGTTACGCTTTCACGCCTAAGCCACTAAACTGATTTTAATGAAATTTGGTACAGATATAGAGTTGGCTTTGAGAAAGAACTTAGGATAGTTTTTATCCTAGACTTTTGAAAGGTTCTCCTGAAGCTAGTCTAGAATAAACTTTCACTTGATAGTATATTTTTCTGTAACACATCCTATGATTAATGAAAAATTTCGCGTTCCAATTTTTGTATCACACGATATAAAACTCATATGTATCTATCAATGGGCGTCGAGCATCACATTTGAAAACATGAATCCAATACAAGACAAAATAATTGTGATTCCTTTACACGATACCGTTGCATTCTCTGTATGTGACAATACATTTGTTGGTTTCGAAAGGCGTATTCAAACTACTTTTTTTAAACTGGAGTTCGTTACATTGCAAGCTTTATTTTGTACATGTTAATGAATACAAAAATGTAATCTTAGTTCCACGGCATGAATCTATACCTAAACAATAAATCATTTGTATTCATGTTTTCGCTGTAAACATAATTTTGTCCAAAAGCTGGAAAAGTCATTATATAAACAAAATTGATGGAATATAATTTTCTGAAGTCTAGGAGGATGAAGTTTGTGCTTTTGATAAAATAAAAGATATTTACCAATATTGTGTCCTATCATATGTGCCATGGTGCCGGCCAGGAGATGAGGCTCGTACGTGTTCCCATCAACTGAGATGCCCACAGACTTGGCAGTACACATCGTGTCGGGAACTGATATGCCAGATTCAAATCCAGGAAAGTTTTGCCCCCTGAAAGAGTTTTTCTTAATTAAATTGTTTGATGTTTCTATTATATTGTTATCAGTATAAGTAATGTGTATGATTACACGTTATGATGCTAGGAGGATCATCGGTTAGCTGGGAACTTTTGAGTTTTTCGACTTTAAATTCCGAGTTATATTTAAAATAATATGTCCTAATCATGAGATCTAAGACTTTCGCGAATATTAATTTAAAATATGTATTTGTACATGTATTAATTAATTTTATACAAATAATAGTTTTGTTTTTCATATAAACTTAACAAAAATAACGACAGTATTAGGGCAAGGTCAATAAACTGTGACCCCATCTTTCAAAAATGATTTATTATTAGAAAATGTGCGAATATTTTGTTATGTACGTGAATATTTGGATAAAATATATATTAACTATAAATTAAGATATTAAACAGAAAGAAAAAAACTTGTCCTAAAATGATTTTTCGTTCAATGATACGAACATAATAATTAAATAATAATTAATATATGTACCCTTATTTACAAGCACGTTTTTGTGGGTTTTAATATTCCAATTTTATTGTTATTTAACCCTAACTTATCTAGACAATCCTTTTCTCATAAAAGCTGACATATTTGGGTTATGTTGGACACAATGGCACAAAAAATAGGTTTTGGGGAAGCCTTACTGGCGGAGTGCTCTTGAAGTGACGTATGTTCGAAATAACATACTGTAATATAAATCTTTCAGCGTTGTTGTATAAACTTAGTAGTTTACGTGATATATTATTTTAACATTATTGTAACATTATTATAACATTATAAGGACATTATGAATATGATTCTGATGCTTCTGAATATATGAAACATTTCATTGAAGTTCTTTACAGATTATGAAACAAGGCTTCTCAATTTTAATTATTGGTATTCATTATATTTCTCCAAACTTATTTTCGGTTATATGTTTTGAATATGAATTGGAACACTGAAAAAGTATAAAGATGTAAAGTACAACAAAATTTGCTACTTTCATATATTAAAAGTAATATTTGCTCTGAATTAAGCAACGTAAGTTTTTTAATTGATAAAAATTATTAGTTCCATTATTCATATTAGTCTCTATTTAAAATACATAAACTATTATAAATAACAAAACATTTTGTGACATATTTGTAATTTATTACAGTCGTGAGTAGTCTGTAAAATTATGACATCACTGCCAAAGCATTACATGATTTCAACATAAAACAGTTTATCCAATTCCGTAAAGCTTTGAGTATTATTGGCGAATAAATCATAGATGCTATTTGTTTGTTAGTTAGTAACTTGTGCACCAACTCCGACTAATGATCTCACTCGAGGGCACTATCAGTATTAACTTAAAACTAACATTTCAGATATCAAAACTATACTTCAAAGGAAACTAATGGTATGAGTATACTGATATTAATTGAAAAAATGTAAAACAAAATCTATTCCCAGCATTTCAAAGATCATGTCGATTAACATCTGCTCTTGTTCTACCTGGCAATTTCCCAGTTTTAGCCAGGGTCTGCCATACATGTTGTGAATAGTGTTGGGTAATTGTTTTTATGAGCGGCCGCCTGTTTGACATCAACCCTCTTTGGGAATGCATTAATCAGTGATGTCTAAATACTCTTTATCTTTTATCTTTTATCTTATCTTATCTCCTTTATAAAATATAAATGTTTTTCCTATAAAACAAACTTTTAATGATATAAATGATATAAACAATATCCCTTAGCATGTAATATTAATCGTGTCGATCTAAAACGTCGACAGCCAAATTATGACAGGACATCCGGCTGCTGTCGGCTGTTATCGCCTGTTCATCTATCGGTGAATTTGTTAAAATTTGGGGCGAATCTACAACATTTATATACGCTTATATAAATTTATTCTAAGTAGTAGTCATCAATTCTTATTAAACCTCATAAGTATTTATGATTATTGTTAAAAGTAAAACGAAATCAATCGCTGTTTAAAAGGAGAATAGAACTATGTCTAAATCTTGGTATAAATATGACGTCTGGACGCATGACGGCAGACTTCAGAATTCAGAGTTCAGTGAGTGCGAATCATTGAAGTATGTTATTATGAAGAACCTTCGAGAAATACAGGAGCATTAAGAACAATTGCAGTTTCATTTTAAAATATCATGGAACGCTCTAGAAGAAGTAACATTTGTTACGTCAGCGAGGCTGGCGTCTCTCTTTAAAAACAACGAATTTGTAATAAATCCTATATATATATTATATCTAGAAATCCTCGTTGTTTATTCGTGTTTCACTAAAGATTAGTCGAGAGAATCCAACAAATGTCTCATAGCAAATCAAAATCTAAGGAACTAAGCTTCCAGAAGATATCCCTTGGATGGAAATGCAAACGAGTTACTGAACAATTAAAATAAGCGGATACTAAGCTGGTATTTCTCTTTTATGCTCTGCACATTGAAGTATGCTCACGGATTATATGAACTTCATCATTATAACTACACGAGCTTTGGTCTGTACGATGCACTTCGTCAGCGATCTCAAACAACTTCGCTACCCGAAATATATTTTAGTTCTTGTTTATATATTAAAAGATTAAGATAAATATGTAGTTATATCTCGAAATAGTAGTTTACAAAGTAGTGAGTTTAACGTTAGCATTTATATTATATGTACATATTCATAATGTTAGTTATGCATTAGACAAGATGAGTTATCTAATGGATTTCTCAAAATTAAAGATGAGAGCTATCGTATTTTTCTGAATTAATTCCTTACAAATTAAACATTTTCTATGAATATATATTTGTTAAAATGTATATGTTGTTATGTATAACTTTAAAATAATTCGATACTCACGTCAGCAGCTGGGTCGTATCTTTCTCAATTGTGAAGAGTTTTCTTGCAGAGTAGTCGCTAAATTTCTGTATGGCTCTAGTTATGTCCTGTTTCTTATCTATATCCGCCTGGTCAGCGCTCTGCCACGACTCGATGTACACCAGAGACACACGAGTGTTCAGGGTACGGAAGTACTATACAACAACACATTTTCTTATTTATTGTAAACACATTTTAAGGAGCATTTCCTTACTGACTACTAACCAAAGTCAAGCAAGCATTATATCTACATACATTTAAATTTGCATTCTGTGTATACCAGGTCGGTCTATGTAGTATTAGCACTTTATATGAAACTAAGTCGTATAAACCTCCATTAAACTTATGAACTTCTGACGATAAGTTGGAGGAAGCGTTTCAAATTTGGAGGAGATAATGTATGAACTTACTCTCGTTACGATTTAAGACCCAAGTTTGTGAATCCACAACTTCTTTCTTTCTTATTTTTTGTTTAAATCTAATCGTTTATTGGAAGCAAAAATGTCTCACTATATCGTACCTACTTATATTTATATATTCCTCACATAACATATATATGGTATTGACTAAATTCTTTTGAGAAGTGATGGAATACTCATATTATTTTTATACGAATTTTCTGACTAAAGAAAAATAAATAAGTTACTTATATTTTTGTATAAAATAACTATAATCTGTGTTGTTTTTACATTCACAAAATGTTTATTTTTGCGCACAGATAAAAATGTATACATCCCTGTACATAGAAGGACAGACTCAAAGTAAATGTTGGCTGTTAAGCCTCGCCCATAAAAGCACTTGAGCAAATGCGTGGCGAAGGGCTCGTCTTCTAGCGTTATGGGGTTCCTTTGTAGGGAAATGTATAAAATGAACGCTTTACGCGTGTTTGGAAAAAGAGCTCCTTGTCTGAGATCCTACTGTTTTGGCTTACAATTTAAATTATTATACAAAGCTGTCTAGGTTTATAGGCTGTAAAATAAAGGTAAACAATCATTGAGCTCACCAAATCAGCGATATTGGCTACTTGGATAGCGTCATGAACGACTTCGGATCGAGTGCTGCCATTTCGTCTATCAAACATAGCTTTATCAATGACCAGAGCTGTTTCAATATATTTAGTCGTTTCTCGAACATCCCGTTTGAACCTTCTTATTCCTCGGGAACTCAGACCGCTTTTCCACCAATCCATCGTTCTCCCTCTGAAAACATAAATATAGTATACATTAATAATTTGATAATAATTATTGTGTCGTTTATGGAAAACCACATCTCCTTAACAAATACCACCCTCCAATTTATGCAAATATTTTGTTATATAACATCACATCATGAATATAATATTGTTCTTTATAATTTTTCTTTAAATTGGCAAAAAGTAAAATGGTTGAACGGTAACCTAACCGCCCTTAATTCTTAATCGACTTTATCATTTTTTTCCTTCAAGTGCCTCATTATCGGAACAGGGAAATTCGAACGCTGTAAGGACCTTCGAGAATATTCTATTGGGCACATTGGTACTCGTGGCTTAGGAAGGACTTTTTAAATTTATGATTCGTTTCGCTGATTGACGTGCTGAGAGGGCTGGTTTATCATTTACCCTTATAGTATGTTTGTTTTTTATATTATTATAATACTTATTTGTTTAGATCAATCATATGTGGTTTTCAGGTAATTAGCATCAAGATTTATTAATTTATTTAGTGGCTTATAAACATATCACACATTAGTAACGTCTAAAAATATGTTTCTTTACACATAATTATAAATAATTCAAACGCATTATTTGGATGTCGGTAATTTTAGATTCATCTACGAAATTTTGTTAAAAGCGAGCTCTTTAAATCATTTGCATATTCCCTAGGAAGTAGCGGCAGAAATGTTCTGATGAAGATTCTAGATAAGTCCTCCCAGAGAACGTTTTAATGATACCTTTGACATCCGCCCCCATTTTGACCTGAACGCAGGAACCGTATTGGGAAACAAACGTTTCTGGGAATCGCTCAAGATTTATATTAATCTGTCGAGCCTTTAAGGATATTTGTCTCGAGAATTTTAATATATTTAATTAAAAAGGTTTTTTATAAAATTGTGAATTAACTTGAACACGATATATATTTTAAAAATCCGAAAATCAGACAGTACAAACATTCTTTCGGATCACTGATCTACTTTCATGTAAAAAAAGATAATACTCGTAACATCATTGGAGATAAATAAACATTTAAGAAAACAAATCCCATGACAAATCACTAACGGTACAATCTGGAATTATTTCACTCCTTTAAATATGTGTTCTTTTGTTCGTGATACAGGTCGAGATATTACTCTGAGATGTTTGAAGAGCATTGTTCAAAGTAGCTCATTACCATACATTTACAAAGTCCTGAGAAGGTGTGAAAACATTGTCAGGACGTGGTGATTACTCAAATGAATTAATTGGATTAACATACGACACCAAAATCTTTTGTATATATAATTATATATCAACATCAAGTCTCTTTCAATATATACCGAATTCAAAGACCTTAATAAAAAGTCTCGAAGTATGACTTACGTCTTTTCTTCTTTAACAATGGACGAACGAATTGAGACGCAGCAAAATATTAGGACATGTCGAAATACGAGGGCATTTCAATTCGTTTAGGCAGAATTTAATATGAGGTCACAGAATAATTTTGTTGATATTTGTACACGTCCTACCGACCTCGGGGATAATGTGGGTTCAGTGAGTTGTAAAATAGTTGGACATAACATATTTTATTCTTTTATACCGCTGATATCTGGGGCGGCTTATTTTGTAACGGAACCCGGACGAATTGTTGCTTCGAATGAGACATATGAATCTTTTTTTAAGTATTTCTTATATATAAAAAGGCCTCGCAAACATATTCTGTATTATAGAAAGTGATATTAGGGATAACATGACAATATTAATAATGTTTTTTTGTGAACAATCTATTGTTTACAGGAGTTGATATATTAATTTATTTTTCTGTATTTATTTTATAAAATTTTAATTAGTCTTCTTTATGTACTGTAATGTATATAAGAAACATGATATTGCATTGGAGTTAGCCAGTATTTAATTTTGAAAACCTTTTCAGTATATAATATTGATTAATCCAAAAGTTTTATTAAAATTTATATTTTTAATGTATAGAAAGTACAAAAATGTCCACAAGTATTCGAGCAATAATTTAAGTTCAGTGATCCTTTACTGTCCAGAATTCGGTAAGGGAATGAAATAGTAAGTGTTGCTAACTTTAACCAGTCACTGGTTTTTGTGAGAATGATTTATATTTCAAGGTACAAGGACGGACGAGATTAAAAATTTTCTAACGTTATAAAATTACGTTCAAAGGTAACCAAAGTAACATACATATATGTTGATGTATTTTATTTAACAAAATATAATCAATATTTTTACTTATTTCATGGACTTCATTTATTATCATATTAATATATGATGATTTTAATTAGTTTTAGGTCATTCAAATATTATACGAGTATATATTATACAACAAAATAAACCGATATCAAAAATTTATTTTGGGTAATTATATTTGGGAGTGACGCGACGTGTCACTGCCGGCCGGTGTTTGTGGACGACCTCTTTACTGTGACACTAACATTAACTAGTTCACGTCAACATGCCGTCAAATTCTGGAAATATTATGAATTTAACTTATGTGACGTATTTAACAATACTGTTTTTATACCAGTTGGTAAATAACTCTAGCGCGGTCACATGGAAAGTCTTCGGGGAACAGATGGCGCCGTCTGGTTTTTTTGACGAATGAAGATTACTGAATAACATCGGAAAACTCTGAAGTATATTTTGTTGTCATTGAAGTGTATCGAAGAAAGGTTGAGCAATCCAAGGAAAAATATTTTGAGCTCCAAAAAGCATTATCATTGTTTTGCGGCAATTAGGCTTTTTTACAATATTTGTAAGTTATCAGTAAAGTTATATATAAATATATTTTTTTAACTAATTTATATAATATCATTAAAAATATAAAATCAATATCATTAAAAAATTATTTCATGTAATATCTACATTTTCGTTCTCACTATGTCACTAATGGTACATTTGATAAAATATTCTTTTCAGTTTCTGTGACTCTTTCTATTAATCAGTTTCTTTTACATTAGTATGATTTAACGATAGGTCTAAATATTTTTTCTCTACAATTTCTTATTAAGAATCATAAAATTTATAGTAAGGTTGGATTGTTCATTTAAACTGGAATTAACAAGCAGATGTTTTTCTTGAAAGAAATAGTCGTAGCCTGATGATAGAAATTGAAGAATAATTATTTTTAACTAACGTATATTCCGTGGCGTCTGTTAGCATGGTCTGAACGAACTCCACGTGTTTCGTGCGTCTGTTTTGCTTGCGGTTGTAGTCCAGCTTGTTGCCGCACCCTCGGTTCACCTTCGTCCTCGCCTCGAATATAACGTGAGGGTGTTTCTGCAAAGGAAACAGTCAGTATTAGAAGCTAAATAATACGTTCCTATTAGAAATGAACAAAAAGCATCGTCTCTTTTTTTTAGTCCAATAAGAATAACACAATAACAATTTGTATTTTTCGCCCTATCTTTACGTATTAATGTTAGTTAAACATCAAGAATTTTAAAATTAATTCAAATTATAACAAATAAATATGGTTCAATATAATTTTATTTCTGTTTATGTTATTTCTTGTAAAATTCCAATGCATAATTTGGAGTGAAGTATTCCATACTTGCCAAAGTCAATTCGAACTCGGAAAGACAATTTGATTTTCCCATACAGCATGTAAGTGCCTTCGCACGTATTGAATAAAATATTGGCGAGTGATGAAAGCCTGAACACGAATTCACTTTCCATTCACCGCTGGAGCCAGGTGAGGGTAATACATAAATTGAATTAAAGGTCCAATCACGTTCGATTTTGCGAGAAAAGGTTCAGTCTCAAATGAAAGGTGTTTTAGCGGCTGTGAGTTTTACGGCGGCTGCCGGCGTTTTTACTGTGATTACAATTTTTTTTTTTTGCCACAAATATTTGAGTGATAATGTAATGAGTGAGTAAGTGACAAAAGTAATTAATGTCTGTTATAATGTCGTATCTCTTTCAGATACTGGAAGAATTAAATTTTGAATTAATTAATTGGCCCTTTAAATAATTATGTTTCAACTTTACTATTAAATAATGTTTATAACTTTAATATTAATTCAATACTGAAAAATGAGAGATATTTATAACTTTTTACATTTTTTGTAAATCAAAGGACCTGCTTGCGAAACACGTTTTATATCTGATTTCAAATAACATAAACTTTGCTAAGTATTTATTTATCTACTGTAATTTTTATCTTCATCTACCATAATTGATACTTAAGACACAGGTAAAAATGTCAAGAGTAAATAAAGTGCATATAACACACTAAGTTAAGTCATCAGAAGCGCGACTGTGCAAGATGGGGTCCATTGCAATGAAACATGGTCCCAATTTTGTGGGTAAACGCGGCTAAATTGGATATTTCTCGCGCCTCGGCATCGCGGGTTTTTTTTTGGTCCGTTACGTTTCAGTTTATTTTTTTATACAATTTTGGTGAAGCTTCCGGCTTAATGGTGTGCCGTAACAATATACATATTGTTTTAGATTGGTTTTGTTTACTGCGCTTTCCAGCGATAAACTTTAATTTTATAAAACTATATTTCCTTTGTTGTAAACTAGTTTGATTACAGGCGAGAATTTATTTGTATTTTGTAAGAATCACCTTATAAAAACATTCTTGAGTTGCTTGTAACGTTTAAAACAAAATATAAGCTTATTATCATTGTTGTAAATTAAAGAGATTTTTTTTAATTTTATGTACCTATATTTTCATACAATATACTGTCGTATAATACTAAATGTTATAAAGTACAAAATGAATCACTATCACAAAGCTTTCGTGCGAAATGCTCACAAATTCCTTAGAAAATATTTAACACAGATTTTTATACAAGACTACATGCAAAAAACGAGCCAACGTCACTCGTAATAAGAGCCAGGCTTAGCGCAAAATATATTTACAATATTGCAACGTTTCATATGAAATACAATATAAGAGCATCTTATATTTCTTCATAAACTGTTGGCGTTGCTTGGGAACAACGCTCGTGTCAAAATGTTCAAAAATTGAGCCCTATTAACTGGAGATAGGGTTGAAAATATTCAGAAGGTGGGTCTTTTATTAAGCAATTTATTAGAGAAAATACAAAGGAAAAGAACATCTCTATTATGTGGTTCTTGAAATATAAGTAAAATGAACGTAATCATTCTACGACACATGCTAGCTTGTTTGAAGTGCTAATTACCAGACTTTACTTTAGCGAGCGTCACTGTTTAGATTCCGCCGAAAGATCGCAAGCTGAATCATAGTAATTACGGCTTATATGACTAAGGTAGAAAGTCCAAAGCGGCGCAAAATGTTAATAACATAACTACTGTTGCAAAGAGTTCTTTGATGCCGAGCTGAATATATTTTAATTCTTGTTAAGGCAGCATGTAATCCTGACGTATGTTTCTATATTTACGTAAATATCTCATCTACCTTTAAAATTCACTAGTATGTTTTCCTTTCATCCCAAGCTATCTCAGATGGATGCAGATTTTTTTAAACATCAAAAGCTTTTGTGTAGACAGCGGTCTATCTAATTTAAGGCAAAGATAGAAGATGCGGGTAGTTTGAAACTCATCTTGTGCATACACTATTAGCATATCAGATAGCTTGCTCCTGACTGAAAATAGCGGAAAATGCACGAACTAACTAGTGAATATGACGATGCATAATCAAGTTTTAAATACATATTATATTTGGGTTGAAAGTTGGCCGAGCATCAGTTTCATGATCGCAAAATTGATTTCCTCATGTTAAACTACCATATTTGGTTTAAAGTACAACTATTTCTTATTACTTTTTATCGAAATCTTATATTGAATTAAATAAAAAATTGTTACCAAGAATTATTAATTATAAACCTACGTAAATAAAATCAATTGTACCTCAGAATTGATATCAAATATAGTACAATGTGCCATTCCGGGCGTCCGTCCCCACCATTCGATTTTCGTTTCATCATTGTCACTATGACGAATTGGACTCATTTGGTCGGACACTTTGAAAGGCTGGCCGGTGGCCGGATAGGCCCCGTTCTTTACACGGGCGAACATATTATTTATTTTGAAGAAATTTCTCATTATATGAGAATATAAGTATTAAAATTTTATTTCATCTCTTTTTCTATTAGTATTTCAAATTTCAGTTCATATCAATTATTTCTATGATATAATTTGAGATTTCTCCTTTTCATTTCTTAGTTATATTTACATGAAGTTTATAATAAAATTATATTGATAAATTAAAGAATTTATAAAGTACTATTCGACTGTAAATATAAAATACATTAGTATTACCGGCATTTTCATATTCCAGGTTTAAAAGATTTTTTTAAATCAAAACATTAAAAAAACTCTACATATTTATATTAAAAGAATAAGTAGCCTCAATAATATCTCTTAACATATAAATTCAATCTAATAAACCTCTAATTTTAGTGATAATATATTATGAGTCATCCAATACTTATGAATTTTCTCCCCTGATAGTGATTTAAAGTAGAATGAAGTATCCGATTTAACTCAAGCCGATAGTTTTATGGCTGTAATATCGAATTCTACTTGAAGATTAAAATTTAAGGTTTATGACTTATAAAGTCGAATGGAAGGGAGATTTATTTATTGATTATAATTATGGCTGTAATGAAAACATTATACTTGTTATAGTTTTAAAGTCAATTAAGGTTTATTGGAGTTATTTTGATTTTAATATCAGTTACTTTTAAGAAATAGTAGGTATCTCTTTTGTCTTTCTTTAATATAAGGAATGTATTAAATAATACGTATATTAAAACAGTGTCCGTAGTTTGAATGTAAACAAAGTTAATTTACTATCCGTTCTAGTAAATACCAATTAATTGCGTGATTAAAAGACCCTCGCCGACCACAAGGTAAAATCAACTCAAACATAAGTACGTTGATAGTCCAGTCATTTAAGCTTAAATAAGGTAAGAATCTCGGAATTCGAGATACCCAGCTGTAAGTCTGTAAATAGTTGTATATTGACACCCTAAAAGTTGTCTCAAAACCTACATATGTTAGGGTGTAAGCAACTATTAAATTTCAAGGTTAAAGGTCACAAAAATCGGTTTTTTGCGCTTTTTTTGGAAATATCTCATTTCCTATGGGTTTTTTGCTATTTGTATTTATTATCAATATTGTAGAATACTAAATTCTCTACAAATTTTGTTTCAAAATTTTTTTTATACGGTGTACCGTTTTCGAGATAGAGGGCGGAGAGCGCGCGGTCACCGCATCACTTCAGGTCAACCGGTGCCTCCGGTCGATAACGCGCCATATATAGTTGATGAACTATCAATAAAGCAATGATTATAAATATTTGTCAATTTTTATTAAATATTATATTATATTTTATCATTTTTTCCTAACTTATCCACTTTTTATTCAGTATTAATTTATTTAATAACACTTACCTGTCCATGTAATTGCAGAATTGTTACATAATGAAAATATAAGAATTATATTTGAATTTTAACCTAATTAATCTTAATAACTTCTTACATGATGAAAAAAAAAACAAATAAATTATGAATTAATCTTTTTATTAAAAATATCATTGAATAAATTATTTTTTATTGAAAGTAAAAAAATGGAATACTTAAAGGGTACAAAAACTACAATTTATAATTTTAAACATCTTCTTCCTCTTCATCGTCGTCTTCTGGCTGCTGGTAAATTTCAAATGGTCTTCATTATCGTCTTCAACGACATTTGTCTCAAGTTCTTCCATGATTTCGGGATCAAAGGTTCCATCTTCGTTAATGTCGCTCTGATATGGTTGAGCATTGAGACAAGCTTGCCCATTACATTGGCCACAAGCTAAAGAGCATTGCAAGCCTGCATCCGCATCGCGAACCACAACCACTTTTGCAGTTGCAGAAAATTTTATTTAGCAAATTTTCTGGAGCAGGTAAAATTGTCTTAATTATTTTAAGTTATTTAGTAACTTTATTTAGTAAACGGTTATCAGTATTATTGAATAGATATATATTTAATGCATGAAGAAAATGATAAAATATAATATAATAGTTAATAAAAATTGACAAATATTTATAATTATTGATTTATTGATAGTTCATCAACTATATATGGCGCGTTATCGACCGGAGGCACCGGTTGACCTGAAGTGATGCGGTGACCGCGCGCTCTCCGCCCTCTATCTCGAAAACGGTACACCGTATAAAAAAAATTTTGAAACAAAATTTGTAGAGAATTTAGTATTCTACAATATTGATAATAAATACAAATACCCAAAAACCAATAGGAAATGAGATATTTCCAAAAAAAGCGCAAAAATCCGATTTTTGTGATCTTTGACCTTGAAATTTAATAGTTGCTTACACCCTACCATATGTAGGTTTTGAGACAACTTTTAGGGTGTCAATATACAACTATTTACAGACTTACAGCTGGGTATCTCGAATTCCGAGGTGAACTTACTATAATGACTGGACTATGAATTGATTTCAGCACAGCATCTAGGTTTGCTATCCCAACAGTGTCATGAGAAAGGCAAAGAGACAGCGATGGTCCTTATCACGTATGCCATAAAGGCTATAAAGGAGCGGTATACAATCACGGGTCAACTACATACATTGACCTGAGCTAGTCGGATGCAATTTAGTTTTCGACTCTGCGGTACTCTGAGGCGATCCGATTCTGGGTTAGCCGAGACTTAGTCCGTACTTATTAAGTTCTATTACGTAATCGTAATAACGGAAGCTTCATAGAGGCTTTGTTAACTAACAGACTCACTCATACACTCCGGGTTATTGAGTCTGAATCAAATTCCAATTACTCATTATATTCTTAATTACTTTAACGTCTTAGGTAACTTTTGAGGAGCTCTCTCGCATGTGACAACGTAATGCTCTGACGGGAAATCTTACAAATTAATATATAATTAATTAAAACTCTTACCCTTACACTTGATGAGATTTTCTAATAAAGACATTTAATAGCATTATTTTTTTGTATTTGCAAGTTATAAGCTCCTCAACTGTGTTTAAGAGTTTTCTAAATTAAAAGACTTTTATATCTTCTAGTTAGACTAGACTATGTAACAGTATATACATTTTTATCTCTCAAGAATATTTATTTCGAAGCCTCCTATTTGCAAGACATGCTAGTTTATTAAATCAATTTTAAATTGTTATTATCCACCATATCGAAGGTATTAAGAAATATATTTTAGAACGTTAGAATATTTTAAAGAGTTTTTAAATCGATATGGACTCTGATGAATGAAACAAATATATTATTTACTTTATAGTTTGAATTATTTTATTACTTAATTTTTTCTAATCCTCTTTATGTGTTTTTTCTTTAAAAAAAAAACAAATACATAATTTAGTATCGCAAAATTAAATAAAAAAACTTTTTGAAGTCGTTTGATAGATACAAATCCAACGTCAAACCAGAACTTAGTCATAAAAAACTCCTATGCATATATTTAAATCATCTTATCAGCATGAATATGACATTCATGATATCGAAATAAAATCCTTATTAAAGCACGTAAATGTTTAGTTTAATAAAACTTATCCGAAAATCTTGAAAGTAACCATTTAACTTTCTTCATACAAGTCAACACAAAATCGACGTGCTAACAAAATCTATTTATTACAATAGCTACATATAATTATTCTCAAATACTCCCACATCAATGATAACAAATCTCGGGGCCCTTGTTAATTTTATCCCCGGAGCGATGCTAGTACAAACTATTTGTATTGCCAAACATATTGTAACATATTGTTTACACTGTATAAGTGTTTTGATTTCACTAAGAAAATATTTCTAGCATATATGATATGTTATTCTAATATTATGAATCGGGGCTTCAACTTATGCTAGAAAAAATCTTTGTAACTATGCTAGAAAAAATCTTTGTAACTATACCGTAGTCAAAGAAAGATTTTAATAAGTTTATGTAGACACAGTTGGTTACTTAAAAAATTGTTTTAATTTAACAGAAAACATAAGAAATAAAACGTGTATTTCCATATATAGTTAGTATTTTATATAGTTAATTTTCTTTTCTGTAATGTATGAATAATATAATAATTTTAAATTACACTAACAATTTAGCAGAGCGTTTATTAGGCGTCATAGTGGAACGTGTTCTGATCACCGACGTCAGTAGACCGTGATTAACGCAATTGTATGAAACCGAAACGTATTGTTTACATTAGTTTTCATAATTCCGAATGAATGAATACAGAAATATTATGGTTTAAAATGTATTTTCATTTGTTGTACGGCTTTAAAATGATAATACTCTATCCCATATATAAACAGTTTATTATAAAATATGATAATTTAGTATGTTAGTTTCTTCATAATAAATGTTTTCTATAAGATTCCTCCTGTTAAGTTATGTCAAATGAGTAACACATTGTAGTCTGATTTACTTACACGATCCATATAAAACAATTGGTGAACAATTTGTTCTGATTATTGACTGATTCATTCACTTAAGGAACGAAACACATATTAAGACGTATAGCTTCGAACGTGGGCTATCTCCCGCTATAAATCACTGTTCTCACACGGAATATAGAGGGCAAATGTTTGCGCTTTGCTCAGGTCATAATTTAACCCTGGTGTGACCTGTGATATATCATAGTGTGTACAATGTTTGGAACTATTTTTTTTTTGCTAATACTTACAATATCTGGTAAATTATCATATATTTGAGATTTTTGCGAGTATTCATTTAAATGAAAGAAATATTTTCGGATATACTACGCGACTTTATTTTTGTAAAAAACTACATACTCCCGACGTTTCTGTTACTTTTAAGCAACCGTGATCACGAGTTTCATTTAAATATCATATGTTTTTTTGTTAAATAATTCTAAATATCATATTAATTGTGAATACCACTGCAACGTTGTGGTGCGACAGGTGACATCCGTTACTAATTGTTATATAAAAACCTGAATAAAACCGGACACGTACAAAACTATTTTTTATTATACCAATATACATATTTCAGAGTACTGTATCTGTATGAAAAATAAAGTGTAAGC